ATTTAGGAGAGAACATGGGCTATCTCAAGGGAGAGCTATCTTTTGGGATAAAGTAAGAAATACATATTCAAAGGGGGAATGCAGGCCATCTTCAGAGGGAGAGAGACAGCTAGAAGTTCAGTTCTGCAGAGCATGAAATGGCAGGTGGTATGGCCATAGCCCTAACTGGAGATTTAAACCCAACTTCGGGTTTAAATCCCAGAGGTGAAGACTGGACTTGTTCTTAAGTAGTGGGGAGCTACTGTGAAATTTTAAATGGGAGGTTGGCATAATCAGATTTGCCTTTTGCTCATGCATTTTTTGTCTTGTGAGACACATCTGTTTTTTTTTTTTCCCAGGCATTGGGGTCTACCATTTAGCATGATGACTGATCAGAATATTGTGTGGTATGCTGGATGATCCAAACCTCTCTTTTTTGTGGGTAATAGACCAGGGCTGCAGAGAAGGATTTGGAGCACCATTTCTTTTCAGTTAAATTTGGAAAAATAAGGAGGATTTATCCATTTTAATTAATAAGTGTATGATAGGACCATAGAGGTGCTAGTTGATGAAGTAGTCAGATTTTTACAAAATATAATGTTACTAGGTTCTTTGACCCTTCCTCACCCTCAAAGAGGTTTCAGAACCACCTCCCCACCCAGTCCCACTCATGGTTCACAGAACTGCTAACTCACTAGAGAATACATCAAGCACAGATAGGAGCAGTTCTCTCCTGGGAAAAAGAAAAGGAATCCACACCTGCATGGAAACAACAAAGAAATGACAGAAAATACTGAAATCAGGAGCACAGCTTAATGTTCTTTCAAGGAAGAACTGTTTGAAAAGATTTTTAACAGGCACCTCTGTAAAGCACAGACCTCTGTGGTGCTTGCAAGTTTCCTTTTGCTTGATTATAAATTCTAATGTTGAGATACAGGGAATAGTGTGGACTTCAAAGGATCCACAATGGAGAATTTAACTGGTTTCCAATTCACTTTTTGTGGGGGGGGGGAGGGATGAACCAGGCATAAAAGGGGTAGGAAAGTTTGTGTGATTTAATATATTTTTCTGGGTTTCATTCCAAACTGGTACTTACCTTCATTGTTGCAGAGACTTGTCTTTGGAGTCTTTGTCTTGAATGAACTGGATCCTTGGCTGCCTGACCCCCTGTGCTTTCAATCCTGTTCTTTTAGTCTCCAGCATTAGGAGCTACCTCAGCCCCTTTTCCTGGACCACTCTTTAAGAATCATCACTAGCTATGACTTTGTAACAAATATCACAATGATATTCACTGAATTAAACACACTTAAAGTGCTAAGTTTGTTCAGGCTGTTATAACAAAACACTATGGTATAGGTGGCTTAAATAACAGAAATTCATTTCTCATAGTTTTGGAGGTGAGAAGTCCAAGATGAAGGTACTAGTCAATTGGTTCCTGGTGAGAGGCCTCTTCCTGATTTGCCATTGAATACTTACTTGCTGGGTCTTCCTGTAGTAGAGAGAGATTATCTCTTTTGTGTTTTATAAGGGCACTAATTTCATTCTGGAGGTCTCCACCTTTGTGACTTAATTACTGGCCATTCCATGTCCTTGTCACATTGGGAATTAGGAAATTAGCATATAACTTTTGAAGGGACAGAAATAGTCAATCCATAGCAAGTACAATTTGATGGGTTTTGACATATGTATACCCATGAAACCACCACCATAATCAAGATAATGAATATCATCTTTGAGCACCAAAAGTTGTCTCCCTTTCATAATTCTCCCTATATCCCTAGGTACACACTGATTTGCTTTTTGGCACTAGAGATGGAATTTACTTTTTTCTGGAATTTTTTATCAATGGAATATTATATACATACATGTATTTACATATCTCTACATATACATATCACATGTCCTTTTATTCATTTTTTGTCATTTGACATAATTATTTTGAGAATCATCCATGTGTTCATTTCTGCTGCAAGAGAGAGTAGTCCATTATACGGAAGTAGCACAATTTGTTACTTCATTTCTTTGTTGGACATTTGGTTTGTCTCTAGTTTTTTGGCTATTGTAAATACAACTGCCATAAACATTTGCATACAATCGTACACAAAAGGATATATATATATATTGCTGGGAGTGGTGGCACATTCCTGTAATCACCTACTTGGGAGACTAAGGCAGGAGTATTGCAAATTTGAGACCATCCTGGATAATTTAAACAACAGGTTCATGGTGTATAATGAGTTGAAAAGAGAAGCTATACGGAAGTCATGGGCCTAAAGAAGGAAGGGAAGTTTGAGGATCATCTTTAAATTATGACATAATAGATGTGACAGAAAGCAGCTCCAAATTTGGTTCTCATAATATACCTTCATTCAGTACGCACAGTGCATGTGACCCTGTTTAATTGAGCATTTAAAATACTATTTCTTCTTCTTCTGATTCTCCTTTCTAAGTCTGGCATCTTTATAACAGAGTATCCATACATGAAGTGGGGTGGGGGAGGGCGAGGGAGAGAGAAAGAGTTCTTACTGCTATCCTAATTCTGGTAGTTAAATAACATTGCTTTAAAATGTCACTAATTAGAATTTATCTTTTATTCTTCAGTTATTAGACTATAATTGAAGAAACCCAGTTTAATCTTTTTTCAGGGGGGTGTATCAAGGATTGATGAAATCAGGGGCACTCAGCCACTGAGCCACATCCCCAGACCTATGTTGTATTTTATTTAGAGATAGGGTCTCACTGAGTTGCTAAGCATCTCACTGTTGCTGAGGCTGGCTTTGAACTAGTGATTCTCCTGCCTCAGCCTCCTGAGCTGCTAGGATTGTAAGTGTGTGCCACCACGCTCAGCCCTAGTTTAATCTTAATTTTTTTAAAATTTATGTTTCTAAAGGAAATAAAGCAGAACTCAGAAGCTTAAATAATACAACTAAGAGCAGGACAGCTAAAAGAAGCAGTGGAGGGGAGGATCATGGTCCAGGAGCATTATTGCCAAGTGAATTTTGAAGTGGTTTGTGAATATTTTTAGTTTTTCCGAGGACCTCAATTTAAATTCTAGTCCTTTGCTTTTATTTTACATATGTGAAAATTGAAGGCTGAGTTTTCTGGGGGCTCAGCAACATGCCTTTTGTCACACTCATACGGTATAGGTATAGGTAGAATGAACACTGGTAACTCCCAGTTCCTAGTTTTGTACTTTTTTGTAACGTTGCAATGTGAGGTAGTCACCCCTCCACTACCACTCACACCACACCTCTCAGTGCTGGGAGTTACTGAAGGTGAAAAGGAGGCGGGCGGCGGGGGTGGGGGGAGTAATGTGCCCCATTGCTGTAGCTGTGATAGACCTCCTAGCATGGCTCACTGACATGAGAGACTGACAGGTTCTAGAAGATGTTCTGTTTGGTTGCTTATTAGTCAACATCTCTCTGTTGAAGTTGCTTTGGGTCCAGCTGATGCTCAGTGGCCCAATGGGTATTCAGCATGTCAGTTTCATTTGTCAGCTTTGGTATAATAACACATTCAATTTCATAATCACTTAATGAACAGTTGCAGCTGGTAAACTAAAGTTTATTGTTGCTTTATGAAAACTGAAAATACTCCCAAAGGCTAAATTTTTTTATTTGGTAAGCTAAAATTTCATTTGGTAAGCTACTCAGTGAGGCATTAGAAGACTTGATTTAATCATAATAATAGCTTGCCACTTATTTGAATTGACTAAGTCCTTGACATTATACTATTTTTTTCCCTTAGCATTATAGTAAAGGCTTTGTTTTATAAACAAACAGTTAAAAGTGGTGAAAAAATTTCCCAAAGCTTTGGAGCTTATTTAACTGGGGCTGAGTTTGGATTGAGACTCCCCAATGTTCTGAATTCCTAGCCACTTTTATCCAGGATTATTTGTGGCCCAATATTCTATTCAGTGCCCCATCTTCTCCTCTTTTCTTCCTATGAATATTCTCCTTCTATTCTATCCCAGTTCTGTGCCCTTGCTCTGATTTTCCCCTTCATAAACCACTGTCTTTACTAAAAGCTGTTGGGTAGGGGGGCATGTATGTGAAGGTAAGATGGATGGTGTGGAAGAGGGGAGGACATGGGAGTGGTGTTCACCTTCAAAACAGAACCTTAGATGACATCTTTGTTTTTAAACTTGTTTTGAAATTTGTTGATTACAAAATGTCATATTTACATCCTTGAAATTGTACAGTGACTACTTTTGTCTAAAGGCTCGGAGTTGCTGCTCTCAGCACACACTCACAGCTCCTGTATATGCATGCTTAGATGTCAGTTTGGGTTTCAGATAACTTCCAAAAAAATCTTTCCATTAAAGAAAATGCTTTTGATCATTGTTTACCTACCACTAAAACAGAATAATAATGTCTCTTTGATCTACTTCATTGAAATTATCTCTTTAAGATCTCATAAAAATGATGGAAGTTAAAATGCTTAAATATGTGTAAAAGTCTATGCCTGTATAAGATATTCTTCCTACTGTTGATGCTTTGATTGCCATCAAATGAAAAAAAGGGACTATGAACAGCTGATTAAAATCTGTATGAAAATAACACTTTGTTTCCTTAGTAGAGCAGCAAAATAATGCATATTTGATTCTTTCTTTCTTTTTTAATATTTATTTTTTAGTTTTTTTAGGTGGACACAATATCTTTATTTTATTTTTATGTGGTGCTGAGAATCGAACCCGGTGCTTCACTCATGCTAGGCGAGCGCACTACCACTTGAGCCACATCCCCAGCCCCCCATATTTGATTCTTTCAATAAATTTCTGCTTTAGAGAATATATGAGCTTTTTTATTTCTTTCATTTAAGTTAATTCCTTTATATTGAGATTTTAAGAAAGACAAACTTTCCTAATAATAAAGTATAATGGCACTTGAATATTTAAGATAATTTAGGAGTTGTTTGTTTCAGATTATGTAACACTGAGCAATAAATGAATGCATTGGCAGGCATGTGCTTTAAAACAACAACTATTTTGCAAACTGATTTTCATATTTATTTACTTTTAGGAAACAGATATTGATGACAGATTTGGAGATTTGGATTCCAGAGCAGATTCTGATATTCCAGAAATTCCACCATCCTTAGATAGAACCCCTGAGATCCTGAAGAAAGCTTTGTCTGGTTTATCTTCAAGGTATGATTGCAGGAAGACAAATATGCCTTAGTACAGAAAATAAGCTTTGTTTACCATTGTCTGTGTAATAAATATGACATTTTGTAAGTTGGGGGACTATGAGAGGAAAGCCCTTCCTTATAACCACTTAATATGTGAGGCAGTCCTAAGTGCTTGATGTACATTTTTTTTTCTTTTTACTGAATGTAAAGTTACCATATAAAACTCCATAACACTTTTATTTAAAAATGTTATTGAGGGCTGGGGATGTGGCTCAAGCGCTAGCACGCTCGCCTGGCATGCGTGCGGCCCGGGTTCGATCCTCAGCACCACATACAAACAAAGATGTTGTGTCTGCCGAAAACTAAAAAATAAATATTAAAAAATTCTCTCTCTCTCTCTCTCTCTCTCTCTCTCTCTCTCTCTAAGAAATAGTATAAAAATGTTATTGACTATAAAATTTCAGATAATTTTATATTGCCTTCCATTATATGCTTTAGTGATATGAATTATGAAACTTATAAAAGCAAACCCCAGCAACTTGGGAGGACAAGACAGGAGTATTGCAAATCTGAGGTCAGCATGGGCAACTTAGCAAAACCTTTCTCAAAATAGAAAATAAAAAGGGATGGGTATATAGCTCACTTGTAGAGCCCCTGTGACTTCAATCCCTGGGAAAAAATTTAAAAATCAAAATAAGTATAAGATTTATCCAAATTAAAAAAAATATGAAATGTTACATAGAGACATAGACCAGTGTTTCACCAACATTTTTGACTGTGACACAGAAATACATTGCATATCATATTCCAAGAGACACATAAGCTTGTATTTTACCTGCAGCAGAAATGTAATGAAGTATTTCTTTCTGGTACTGTGTGTGATGCCCTGTTATTTCTGTTTGATTTGTGTGTGTGTGTGTGTGTGTGTGTGTGTGTGTTTGTTTTACCAAAAAGTGCTGGATACAACTTACTTGATTTTACTACCCACAGGTCATAATTTGCTGTTTGAAAACCACTGGTTTTATCATTTTTTTTTCGTAAATGTAATAAGAGTTTTTCTCTTTCTTGCTTTTGTGAGTAGCCATTCTGAGTCTGACACAGACTCACAACAGATTATTTCTTTGATCTCAGAAAGTGTTAGGGCTTCTCCCCACCAGCAAGCAAGCAAGGAGTTCTTCTGTGGACCCCAGCAACATATCTTTTGATCCTGTTCAACTCTGACACTGTCTGCCTGGAGAGAGCAGCAGATCCCATAGGTTGAGATCTCAGTTCCACAAGATTGGCCCTATTTCAGACACTAGTCATTAAATCTGAGCCTCTGGAACTTATGACCCATCAGCTACATATTGTGGTTCCCTTTTCAGGCTGAAATAAAAAAGCTCACAGAACTCAGGAAGATACTTACTTACCTGTGCCAGTTTATCATAAAGGCCATTTAAAAGGATTTTAAAATAAGCATCTAGATGAAGAAATGCAGTATGCAGTCTGGAAGAATCCCATGCACAGGAGCTTCCATGGCCCTGAAGTGGGGGTGCACCACTCTTCCGGCATGTGGATGCATTGTTGTTTACCTTCCTGCTGTCCAGAAGCCCTCCAAACCCTGTCCTCTTGGGGTTTTATGGAGTCTTTGTACAGACATGACTGAAACATGGACAACTGCACAGAAATGTAAGCAGGTAAAAAGGGTCTAACACTCACAGACTGATTGGGGAAACCTAGCAAGGCCCTTCTGTTCAGATTATTCTTGACTTTCCCATGTAGCATTCATTCTTCCCAGGTATGGGTCAGGACCCCTTCTGAAACGGTGGTCTTATCATCTGCTATTGGACAAGTTAGGTCAGAGAATTTCTTTATGGCCAGCTCTAAGACAGATAGGTGAAGGAAAATTAGAACATATTTTTAGTTTCTGTGACCTGCTTTCAGGAAAAGAAATTTTAATTTCTATGGCTTGCTTTAGAAAAAAAGGAACAGGTGAAAGGAAGGCAGAAGAAGGCCCAGTGTGGGGATGGATTTGACTTTCTGAAGCCTGCTTTCGAGTACTAAACTGCCCTGGCATTATTCTCTTCTCTGGGAGTATGAGCTTGGAACTGTGGTCAAAAGCCAAAATATATATATCATAATGTCATAGCCATATTAGAATAAAGTAATTGAATGCATAATTTTTATATTTTTAAACCAGTAGTACAAATCTATGGTCTTTTAGTAAAAACACGAGTATGATATTTATAGTTTTTGTTCCCAGTTGTTTTCATGATATAGTTCAGATGTACCTTTGCTTTAAAATCTCATCAGAGCTATCTCAGATGTGAACACTTATAGTTTTGTAAGAATGATGCTGGATTTCTCTGTGTCATTAATATAATTAGATCTTCCTTAGTAATTATTTTTTTCTGTTATACCAGTAACAAATAATAGCAGCTAATTTTTAAAAAATATTTTTTAGTTGTAGATGGACACAATACCTTTATTTGTTTATTTATATGTGGTGCTGAGGATTGAACCTGGAGCCTCACACATACATGGCAAGCACTCTCCACTGAGCCGCAACCCCAGTCCCTATAGCAGCTAATTTTTATTGAACATATATAATTTGCTAGGCAATGCTCCAATCACTTTACACATACTGACTAATTCATTCTCATGCCTACCCTGTAACACAGGGGTAGTCTTACAGCTAATTTGTACATGAGGAACCTGAGATTCAGAGATCATAAATATATCAAGGGTCTTGTGGCTAGTAAGTGGTGGGGCCTCATTCTGAGCTCAGGCAGTGTGGCTTTAATGCCTTTGTTTTTACCTGTGCTAATTATGAGAGGATTAGTTCTTAAAGAAATGAACAATAGATAATACAATAATTGCAATCTCAAGAAACTTCTGTACAAAGATTATATGAATGTTTTAAAATATCTTCTATATATTTTTAGTCTCTTTTAAATCTAATGACTAAAAAGAGACTGCTATGCAGAAAATTAGAATTTGTAGATACATAGGATTAAAAATCACAATTATGTGAGAAATTTACATGAATTCTAAGGAGGAAAAAGCCCTATAATCCTCCTATCATTACTTGGATTTATATTACTTTGGTATATACCCTTTGAAACTTTTTCTTGTGCATCAAGTATATGTGTGTGTAATGTAGAAATGAGCTCATACTGTTTTCTGCCTTGCTGTTCTCATTTTAATTTGTAGTATTATTAGGAGCAACATTTCATATTTTTAAATATACTTCAGGACCTTCATTTCTTTTTGTGCAGTGCTAGAGATAGAGCCCAGGGCCTTGCTCAGGCTAGGCAAGTGCTTTCCCACTAAGCCACATTCCCAACCCACTTCAGAAACATTTTTAGTGGCTTCGTGACACATTCCATCGTATGGCTGTTGTCCAGTTTATCCAGCTGAGCACCGAGTGCTGGGCATTTAGTTTGCTTTTGAATTTTCATGATTTAAAACATCTCTGCATTAAACATTTTGCTTTGTAACTAACTCTTTTTAGAATCCATAATTATTGCCTGAGGATAACATTTTTTAAAAATGAAATTACTGGGGCTGGAGTTGTAGCTCAGGAGTAGAGCACTTGCCTAGCACATGTGAGGCCCTGGGTTTGCTTCTCAGCACCACAGATAAATAATAAAAATGAATAAAAATTTAAGAAAAGGTCCATCAACATCTATCTGTATCTATCTATGTCTCTGTCTATGTCTATATCTATCTATATCTATATATATATATATACATATAAAATGAAATTGCTTAGCCAAGGTTTGTGCTCATTTTTAAGGCTTTGTATAATGCCAGGAGGGCCTAAGTGGTCTTCACGCACTTGGCAAGTTGCCTCAGTCCATTTCGTGACCTGTGTGTGGGTCTGTGCGCTGGCCAATTAGGTTTCTCCCTCTATCCTTTAGTGGATGTCTTCTCTAGCCAATGTTTGGTAGTATATGGAAATACTTGAGGTTGTCACAAGGTAAAGCCCTACCTTCTTGGCAGCTGGTGGGTAGAGCCCAGAGATGCTGCTAAGTGTCATCATATGGTAGACTTTCTTGACAAAGAGTGATCTGTCCCACAACATTGCTAGAGCTAAGGTTGAGAAACCCTAGAAACATCCAGTTGTAGCCTTACTCATGCTTCTAAACTTTCTAATGCCATCTTCTTTCTCTGCCTACTTACTGTCCACTTTGGCCAGAGGTTAGTGGTAGACTTTCTCCAAATTCCTACTCTTTGTCTGATGGCCCACCTGGATACTGTTCATTCCTCAGGCTGCCTCTGGGTTCTGATTATTGTGAACTGCCTTCCCAATACAGGTTCTCAATGACTCATGATGCTTGTGTCTCTACTAAAGTAATTAAAAAAACCCTTTCATTAACTTTTGAAATAAAAGCCAACTACTAGGTATAATAACAATAAGAATGAACAATGTGTGTAACTACTTGAGATTATTACTTTTGTTTGTTTGTTTTGTGGTGCTGGGGATTGAATCCTTGGTCTTGAGCATTCGAGCACATTCTCTTCCACTGAGCAAACCCCCATCCCTAAGATGATTACTTTTAAGGATGATACTTAATTATGTACTCATTTCTAGTTCATACCGGTCCTGAGGTCCTCAGAAACAGTCCATGGGTGGTGGTTTGGTGTGATGACTTGGACCTAAAATTTAGGCTTCCCCTGATGTGATCATTGTAGTATGGAAAAGGAAATGGAGAATTTAAAATTCTGAGCCAGACTATACTTTTTTTTAAATAGGAGTGATTCCTGCCTTCCACATAATTACACTTTATTGTGAATCCAGTGCTTCTCCTTGAAAGGTGACTTTTGGTTTATACTATGCTCTGGTTTGAATGTGATTCTCAAAGTTCACATATAGAAAACATAATCACAAATGAAATAGTGCTGGGAAGTGAGGCCTAATAAGTGGTGAAAAGCCCTCATGAATATATTAATGTCATTATCATGGGTCTGGGTTATTTATCACAAGTGAGCTTATAAAAGTGGGTTTGACCCTCTCTTGGCCTCTTGCCCTTCTACCTTCCATCATGGAGCAATGTGGTAACCTCACTAGATGCTACACCTTGATATTAGACTTTCCAACCTGCTGACTATAAGAAGCAAAATAATCTGTTCTTTATAGATTACCCAGTTTTAGATATTCTGTTATAGTATCCCAAAATGGACTAAGATACATTATCAATGAATGTTTAAGTATGTGTTAATCTTTTATGTGCTTAACCTTATATTAGATATTCTTGGGAAATTTAAGGCAGAGTCATTTAAATTAAAATAAGAGAATTAAATCTTTGTTCTTATTGAAAGAGAGGAATTTGGGGTGGGGGGAGGAGATAGGTCCATATTAAAAAAGACAACCAGATAGAATATGTTCCTTAAGGGCTTAGGTTTTCGGTTCATTTTGGCATGATGTGACTAGAGTAGGTTTCCTATTTAAAATCTCTGGTTCTTATCACCTGCCATTCTCTGAAGCTCAGAGCTGGACATAAGAGCTACCCGGACTGAGCAGCACCTTTCCAGGGGCTGATTGCTGCTGCTTCTGCTACATCCTTTTCTCTAGAAGATAGTCTTGCTAATTCCACATCTGAGATTCAGTCATAAGGAGGGCTAAACATGCTTCCAGGTTTCATACAAACAGGAAGGATTATACCAGTGGCTGGTTTATTTTTCCCTGTTTATCTCTGACTAGCTTTTTGACTTAGCCCAGTTTCTAATCCATTCATTAATCCACAGTTATGACTATAAAACTAAATGGAACCTTTCTGCTATTGCACTTTTGACTCTGTACCCATTTTTAGTTCAGCCCCAAGCTTATATCTCAGGAGAAATGTATGAATCTCTATAGTTTGTTAAACAGCAGAAGGAAATAAAGTGGGTTAAGTTAAATTTGAGTCCCTTGTGAAGCTGGAATAAAAGTACATGGATTTAATGTTGTTGGCATTTTAAATCTTTTGAGTTTAGCAATGATGCAGTGAAAGGGTTATTTGAAAAAGAAGTTTTTAAACTACATGGGAGAGTGATTGAAAGCAAGGAATGTAATCAGTATCTTATAAACGGATGAAATAAGCTAATATTTCTGTTATGAAAAGGGAACAAGAATCCATGCTTTAAAGTACATGTTACTATTACTATATGAATCAAAATGTTTTATAACAATTTAAATGCTCTTATTAGTAATTTAAAAATTAATAAAAATCTTAAAAAAACACCAACAATTTTAGGTTCAGAAATATAGGTACATTCAGATTTTTTTGTTTGTTTGTTTGTTTTTTGAGACAGGATCTCACTATTTTGTCCATGCGATCTTTGGATTTCTGGGTTAAAGTGATCTTCCCACCTCAGCCTTTCCAGTAGCTGGCACTGCAGGTTATACCATCATGCCAGGTCAGATCATAAGATGATTCAGATATCATCATCCATGAATTAGACTCATTCTGGGTTTTACATATAGCAGCTACTACATTTTTTATGACATGATCACATAAGGAGTGATATTATTTGTAGAGTACACTGGAGATGAAGCCTGAGGTTCCTGGTGGGGTGATGGTAGGAGGTGGGCAGTTGGGCATCCCCGGGGCCAATAGCACAGAGTTGAGGGAGAACAGTTCTCAGCACAGCAGGAGCCAGTGCCATACCAGCAGGGATACTCTTCCCTGAGGAACAGAGAAAGGCTCAGGGATGAGAAAATACTTTTCCCCAACTCCCATAATTCAAAGGCATTTCTGTACATCAGTGACAAATTCTCAGAAAGGGAAATGAGGAAAACTATCCATTTACAATAGCCTCAAAAAAAAAAAAAAACCTTTGGAATCAACTTAACAAAAGAGTGAAAGATCTATATAATAAAAATTACAGAACCCTAAAGAAGTCAAAGAAGACCTTAGAAGATGAAAAGATCTACCTTGCTCTTGGATAGGCAGAATTGATATTATCAAAATGATATATCAATTCTTCCAAAAGCACTATACAGATTTAATGCAATTCTGATCAAAATCTCAATGACATTCCTCATAGAAATAGAGAAAGCAGTCATGAAATTCATCTGGAAAAATAAGAGACCCAGAATAGCTCAAGCAATCCTTAGCAGGAGGAGTGAAGTAGGTAGCATCACTATACCAGACCTTAAACTACATTACAGAGCAATAGTAACAAAAACAGCATGGTATTGGCACCAAAACAGACTGGTAGGCCAGTGGTACAGAATAGAGGACACAGAGACTAACCCATAAAATTACAATTATCTTATATTAGACAAAGGTATCAAAAACATGCACTGGAGAAAAGATGGACTCTTCAACAAATGGTGTTGGGAAAACTGGAAATCCATATGCAACATAATGAAATTAAACCTCTTTCTCTCACCATATACAAAACTCAACTCAAAATGGATCAAAGACTTAGGAATAAAATCAGAGACCTTGCATCTAATAGAAGAAAAGTAGGCCCTAATCTCCATCATGTGGGATTAGGTCCCAGCTTCCTTAATAAGACTCCTGTGGCACAAGAATTAAAATCAAGAATCAATAAATGGGATGGACTCAAACTAAACTGAAAAGTTTTTTCTCAGCAAAAGAAACAATCAGTGAGGTGAATAGAGAGCCTACATCTTGGGAGCAAACCTTTACCCCTCACACATCAGATAGAGCACTAATCTCTAGGCTATATAAAGAACTCAAAAAGCTAAACACCAAAAAACCAAACAAATAAAAAACAAATAACCCAACCAATAAATGGGCCAAGGACCTGCACAGACACTTCTCAGAAGATGATATACAATCAGTCTACAAATATATGAAAAAATGTTCATCATCACTAGCAATTAGAGAAAAGCACATCTACTCTAAGATTTCATCTCACTCCAGTCAGGATGGCAGCTATTATGAAGACAAACGACAATAAGTGTTGGGGAGGATGTGGGGGAAAAAGGCGCACTCATACACTGCTGGTGGGACTGCAAATTGGTGCAACCACGATGGAAAGCAGTATGGAGATTTCTTGGAAAATTGGGAATGGAACCACCATTTGACCCAGCTATGTCTCTCCTTGGTCTATACCCAATGGACTTAAAAGCAGCATACTACAGGGACACAGCCACATCAATGTTTATAGCAGCACAATTCACAATAGCTAAACTGTGGAACCAACCTAGATGCCCTTCAATAGATGAATGGATAAAAAAAATGTGGCATATATACACAATGGAATATTACTCAGCAATAAAAGAGAATAAATCATGGCATTTGCAGGTAAATGGATGGAGTTAGAGAAGATAATGCTAAGTGAAGTCAGCCAATCCCAAAAAACCAAATGCCAAATGTTTTCTCTGATATAAGGAGGCTGATTCATAGTGCAGTAGGGAGAGGGAGCATGGGAGGAATAGAAGAACTCTAGATAAGGGGACAGGGGTGGGAGGGGAAGGGAGGGGTCATGGGATTAGAAATGATGGTGGAATGTGATGGACATTATTATCCAAAGTACACGTATGAAGACACAAATTGGTGTGAATATACTTTATATATAGCCAGAGATATGAAAAATTGTGCTCTGTATGTGTAAGAATTGTAATGCATTCCACTGTCACTTATAAATAAAAATAAGTAATTAAAAAAAGAAAATACTTTTACTCTTATCACAAAAAGCAGACAGCACACTTTAAGCATGAGAAGGAAGTGTGTTTGGTCTGTCCTTACCCTCAGTGATCAACCTGTTAGATCACAGGAACCTTCATTTCACCAAAATCACTGTACTTTCCAGTTTCATTTCTGTATTATCCTTTCATTACTTTTTCTCTTTGATAGACCATGCTCTCTACACCATATTCTTAAATAGCTACTGATTTTTTTTTAACCTACAATTCCAAAGGACTGAGCGTCATCTTTTCCTAGGGCTTTTGAACCTGACTGGTCTCTCCCTTCATGTGATATCTGGTAGGATGTATGACTTTCACAGCCAGATTGACCACTTAACTCTCTAACCTCATGACTCATCCCCATTCACATTTAACAAAAATTTATTTCTTTCTCTGGCTAACATGATCTCAAATTTTAATTTAGCTCTTCGACAGTGGCTATTGTTAGTACATAAAGTGAAATAGGGTATCTTAAGGAATAATTAAGAAAAATTCTTTAAGTTTAGCAACTCTATACTGAAACCACACTAAAAAACTTTTAAGATACCATTAAATACTTTAAAAGATATCATTAAATACTAACTTTATTAACATTTTCTTTGTAGGTGGAAAAATTGGTGGATTCGTGGAATTCTTACTCTAACTATGATTTCAATGTTTTTCCTGATCATCTATATGGGATCCTTTATGCTGATGCTTCTTGTAAGTGTTTGACATTTTCTTAAGTGTCTCTTGCTCTGTTTTTTCAGCATTTATATATGATTGAAATAATTCTAGTATTTCATAAAAAAGAAGGTAATCCATGTTTTGTTAACAGCAAATTTAGCTCCTTTAAGCATCTTCTAGGTCATGAATGGATTTGGGCTAATCATTTCTGCCTGAAAATAGTTCAATCAGAAGAGACCAAGTGTATTTCCATGTGTTCAACATTGTGCTGAGTGATAGACCTGACAGAAATACACACACAGCTTTGGCATATATATGATTATAGCTAGATCCTTGACTCCAAGGAACTTAGTGTAATGGCCGAGATCTTTAGATAACCATTGACTAAGTACTGTGGTAAATAAGTTGGATAAGTCCAATGAGGACATTATTAGAAAAGCACAGTAAAAAAGCATGTAGTGCATTTGGGACACAGTTTTCATAATCTAATGACCTCACCTCTGAACATCCCTGCATCACCACCTGAGCTTTTGGGAGGATACCTAGTATCCAAATGGTGGCTTGATCATGTGGTAGATTTACTGGGTGGTAACTGTAGGCAGATAGGGTGTGGCTGGAAGTAGCTCACTGGTGGTGTGCCTTGGGGGTTTATATTTTGCCTCTGGTACCTTGATCTCTCTTTGCTTTCTGGCTGCCATGAGCTGAGCAGCTTTCCTCTGCTACACCCTTCTGCCACGATGATCTTCTGCCTTACCTCTGGCCCAGAGCAATGGAGTCTGACTGTAGACTGAACCTCTGAAACCATGAGCCAAAATAAACTTTTCTTTGAGTTGTTTTTGTCAGGCATTTTGGTCACAGTGACAAAAAAGGTGACTAAACAAGAAGACTTTCCAAGGTGGGGACTTTATGGACAAGGTGTGGAGGTAATGGGAGAACATGGTTTGTCGCAGGATCTGAGGTTGTACATGTGGAGGGAGCTAGGGATGAGACTGCAGAGGCCAGGAGAAGCCATTCTAGGAGTTTGGGTTTTCGTTGTGTATGAGAATCCCAATGGTTGAAGACAAACAGGTATTTTGAGCTCATAATTTGTTTAATAAATGCTTCCATGATGCCTGCTATGTGCCAGGTTTTGTGCTGGTTCTGGGGTATAATGAAAAAGGTGATTATCTCTGCCTTCATGGAGCTTGCTACCTACACTTTAAAGAATTGGTTGTAGATATATGTCTCTATATCTGGTTGAAAACTATGATGAGCATTTGAAATAAAGAATAATACTATAAGAACAGAGAAGGAGCTAGGAGACTCTACCGAAGCATTGTGCCAGACACAGAGAACTGTGATATACATGTTGAATAGGAGTAATCAGTGAGGTGAAGGGAGGACCCTAGAGGAAGATCCTCATATACAGAGGTCTGCTGTGTATATCATTGTGGTGGGAGTGAGGAAAAAAGCATTTGTTCAACTAATTTATTATGTACTTTCAGGGTGCTGAGCATGGTTTGGCAGTGAATAGTGAGAGTATGCTCTTGGGATTGTGCACTGTGTACCTCTTCATTATTATTGTTGTTGTTATTTAAGGTCTGCCCTCCCAGTGCATGCCTACCTGCACACAATCCCAGGCATGCAAGCCCCTTCCTTCTCTTTATTATTTTCTTTATCCATTTCTTAGCTAATTTGACCTCTTCTTGTATACTCACCTCTATTCTTTCAATGCTCTTGCCTACTTAAAAATGCATGTACCCATCTCCCTTGTCTTCCCAACTCCATAATCTATCCTATTTGTAGATGGTAAGCTTTAGGGCAACATGATAGAGTTTTCCTTTTATATTATAAAAAAATAAGTCTTCAAGTGAAAGTAGAAACAACAACAACAAAAATCTATCAACTCATGAAACAATGTGAATTGGCTCTTGAAGGGCTATAACACCTCTTTTACACTTTCTTCCCTCATTAATTTTGTACTTCCTTGGTGATATCAAGGTAATGAAAATGAGTAAGTAAGAAATTACTTTCATAGTTCTATTAATTTGCTGGCATCTTAAAGAAAGCACTTTTTCTAACAAAGGAAAAAGTATAATGGATAATTGAGAGGCCAGAATTAATGTGAGGGCAGAGAATGCCAGTCTGAAAGCCAGATAGGCATGTATGGGTATCTGGAGTGATTGCTGGATGGGACCTCTAATTCCTAGTTTTCTCAGTCTTTGAATCTTTGAATCCAGCAGTAACAGGACCCTCCACAGGCTTGAAGACTCAGGCATTTAATTAGCAAGTCTGTGGAGAACATCTGGCTGTATGATGGGTGGATTGGACTGGGGAAGAAGGGACCTGGGACCAAGTGATGTCAGGGGCTCAGTAGGGCTTGGGGGCTTACAGGAACCTTTGGGAACCCAGAATTCTGCCAGAGTGGAGGGAGTACTATAAGCAAAGTTCTATATGGCTGGGTACCTTAGAGAAAGGTGCTTTTCCTTGAGCACTGGGCCTTTGAACCTGGAAAAATAAATAGGGATGAGATCCTGGAAGGCCTTGAAATGATACGTGAAGAAGTTTGTGTTTTATTTGGAAAGCACTGAGGAGCTACTGAAAATATTGGAGATTATTTGGCCCATTGGAGGATCTATAGAAGAAAATTTTGATCTGAGATATTGCAAAGGTATCCTTGCTGGATTGACTTAGGCTGATGTGGTGGGCACCCCTGTGAATAACTTACGTTTTTCCCAAACTATCCAGTTGACTGGATGAAGACTACATTTTAGCCACAATCCAGCAATGTAATTAGGCCAGTATTAGCCTGCCGCAGTCCGGCTGGGCACAATTCAGGAGCCACTTGTCAAAAAAAAACTAACTTTATTTTTAGAACCACACACACCAAACAAAACAGCTCCTCAGGAAAAACCCTCAGAGCCCAACTGCCACCACAGGCTTCCCACAAGCCTCTCCACCTCCCCCCCCCTCCTGCTCTTGAGGCCCATTGGCTGGGTCGCGTGGGCAGAGCCAAAAAAGTCCCCCAATGAGCAGCTCCGTGGTCTGAAAGGGCAGGGAAACAGCCCAATGAGCATCACTGCAGAGGAGCCAGTCAGCCTGAAGTTGCTGGGGCCACTGTGAGCCAATCATCATCTGGCAGTCTGAAAGTTTGCTGGGGCCCCTTCAGCTGTGGCTCTCATTAGCCCACATCGTATAAAGAAGCAGCATAGGCACAAACAGCATCAAATTGAAGCTAGCCTTTCTTAGTTTGTATACCAACTGACCATGTAGCCACTCTTTTATGAAATTCAAAATCCTCTTTTTAAAAACATTCATGCCGATTTAGATTGTGATTTTTAAAAAGAGAATCATAAACCTGCCAAAATGACTTGGGCTTTCTTTGTTTATTTTTTCTATCCTGAAAAGGAAAATGTAGTTTTATTACAAGTTGTTTGCTTTGATTGGTGAGTTTAATCAGAAAAAATACAAGAGGGTCAGAGGTCATAGCTCAGTGGTAGAGTACTTGCCTAGCACATGTGAGATGCTGGGCTCAATCCTAAGTACCACATAAAAATAAATAAATAAAAACAAAGGTATTATGAAAAAAGAAAAGAATATTAGAGTGTTAAAGCTGTAGTTAAAGTCGATTTGAACTCTTGTTGCATATTTAAGTTTATTGAATATATATACATAGGTTACTTTTATACTATGTTTATGTCAAGGGAATATGAATGACATACACAGTTGTTTCTCAGTTGATGTTTTTAATGTATTTTATTTTTTATTTTTTAAATATTCATTTTTTTAGTTTTAGGTGGACATAATATCTTTATTTTACATTATGTGGTTCTGAGATTCGAACCCAGTGCCTCATGTATGCCAGGCGAGCACTCTACCACTGAGCCACAACCCCAGCCTTTAATGTGTTTTAAAGTCTTTATATTCTTATTTCTAACTGGATAATTTATAATTTTGAAAAGTATAGAATATACCTTGTTTGTATTTGCTTTATAATGTCAGCACTCAGTAATGACTAATTCGACATAGTTTTATTAAAAATTTAATACTGGGGCTGGGGATGTGGCTCAAGTGGTAACGCTAGCCTGGCATGCGCGGGGCACTGGGTTTGATCCCCAGCGCCACATAAAAATAAAATAAAGATGTTTTGTCCACCGAAAACTGAAAAATAAATATTAAAAGTTCTCTCTTTCTCTCTCTCTGTCTCTCTCTTTAAAAAAAAAAAACAAACTTAATACTAGGAAATGATAGCTACTATCAGATGGAATTCATACTACTGTTATTTAAAATAAAAGGAACTTTGTCCTTCAGTTTTTAATTTCTAGATCTATGTTGTGTTCATGCATTCTAAGTATGTAGTTACTAAAGCATATTTTAATTTAAAGGTAAATATGAATATACATTCTAAGAGGTTTCTCCCTTTTTGAAAATTACTATAACAATTGTTAATTCATAGAGTATAATTTACTTTCAAATAGAGTGTTTACTTTTTTCCATTGTGAGAGTTGAAAAAGTATATTAAAATTATTTTCAAAAATAATTTTTAAAAAATCACCCTACCCCTACCATCAGCTACTCAAAACTCAGTTAACACAGCCATTTGCTATAGTTTCTTATATCCTTTTTTTTCTTTTAATTTTCGCTTTAAAAACCATGGTTGTAATAATGTTGTGACTAAAATTTTGTCTCCTGCTTTTTAAGCTAATCATGTCCAAAGTTTTGTTTTATTAAGTGGTCTTTATCATTGTCAGCTTTGATAGATTCAAGATAATGCATCATAATTTATTTAAGTTATTATGTGATGTTTAAACACTTAGGTTATGTTCTGGTTATTTTTTTATTATGAATAACAATATCTTGAACTACTCAAGTATAAGTTCTAATTTCATATATAAGATTATTTTCTTAGAATAGATTTCCAAAGTGAAAACAGCATTCATTGGTATAATCCATAAGTACCAGAGTTCACTCAGCATTTCCAGATCTGAACTTCATTCCTTCCCCCAGCCATCCTGTGTAAATCTGTGTTCCTTCCCAAACCTTGTTTGGTGTCGTTGCATGTTCCTGCCTTCCCTTGGCCCTCCAGCTTCCTCAACAGTTAAATCCAGTTTGTTCCAGTTCCTCGAGGTGTCCTGTATCTCTTCCTCCATTCCTCTGCTACTGTCCTGTTAGATGCTCATTCATGTGCAGTGCAATCACGTCCTCTGACCTGTGTACTCTTGCCACCTCCTTTGTCCCAGATCCTCACATCTGTTCCTGTTATTCCACTTGAGCTGTTTTCTAGTGCTTTTCCACCAGGCTCCTGTTCTCCCCTCATCCTCACCTTCATGTTCCAGCACCTTGAGCAACTTGTAGTTTCCTTATCAAGTGACTGCACATTCCCCTCCTTTGGCCCAGCCCACCACCACCCCCTGCTACAGGTTTGTGGGCCTGTACATACACACATTTGACTCCTTCCACATGGTAGTGTAATTGAGTGCTTCCTCCCTGCTAGACTATAACTCTCTGAGAATGATGCCCTGTGTTATTTCTGAGTCCTTAGTAACTGTAAAGTAGTCAATGAAGTATTGGTTGTTGTTTTTAAGACTCTTAACAAATTAATTGGATCAACAGAATTCTACCAGTGAACATTGATTGCTACCAGTACCAATTTCTGCATAAATGGGTCATAATAACTCCGCCTTGAATAATACTTATATTTTAAGGATTTTTTACTCTAATGTTTTGAATTCCCTCTATTCTGTTTTCCCAGGAGTTCCATATTAATTCTCCCTGCCAACTGTAGTTGATGATCATATCATATAAATATATGTGTGCTGTTTTAAAATACTTTTCTTTTCTCAGTAAAATACTACATATAGTGCAAATGGTTGTTCTCAAGTAAATATGTTCATAGAAATTGCATCAGTGCATTTGATATTTTAAAAGTTCTTTGGTTCTATCAATAGCATGGCTTTGCTACTTTATCTTAATATTGAGCATTGTCCCCATTCTGTGATTATTTTTTTAAGAAGTAATCCTGGAACTTCTGATGTTATATACAAAGGTTATTTGAAGAACAATTTGATTGTCCTCTTTTCTTTATATTCTAATACATTTAACAACTTTCTTCTAAAAGTACTCTTTATACTAGTTAGTATAATGTTATTTCTATCTTATAGCTATGAGTTGACACATTTACATTTACTTTACTTTCAAATAATATGTTTAAAAATTTTTTCCATTTTGAAAGGTGAAAAAGTATATTGAAATTAAAACAAATTTTTAAAAAAATCACCCCAACCCTATCATCTACTGCCCAAACCTAGTTAACACAGATACTTCCTTTCATCTTTTTTTTTTTTTTCTTTTAATTTGTGCTTTTAAAGCCATGGTTGTAACTAGTTGTGCTCTCTCATGTGATTTGGCCTGCAAAAAACATAATGGGGAAAAATCAGTTTAGAACAACCAATAAAAAAAAAAAAAGTATATTCTAAACAGTAAGTTTGGTAAAACTAATTTGTGAAGATATTAAAAAGAAGTCCCAGAGTATATCCTCAGACTGAGTTTGGTAAGCTTTTTTTCTGAGAGGGACCAGATAGTAATATTTATGCTTTAGGAAGTTGCATATCGTTTATAACATAATATTTGACTTTAAAAAAAACTCTTTAAACTTAAAAATTTATTCTTAGCTAAAGATCTGTGCAAACAAAAAACCTTGAGTATTCTCTCTAGAGGTTGATAAGAGTTCTGCTGCATTCACAAAGATTTTAATCTCTTGGTTTATAAGCGTTCAACTTGCCATTAGTCCTCTGAGTCTCGGAATTGATCTAAGCAAAGTCCTAATAAATATGATGTGAAAATTTGAGGAATTGCCCTCACCAAGATCTGTGATATAGCAGTTTAAATAGAGCATCAAAAATTGATAAACATATTTACTAGGCATGCATTTAGGACACTACCAACAGAACTGCATGAGCTCTGTTGGCAGGCCATAGTGTGCAGATGTAGAAGGCTGCTGATAATTTGCTATGGTACACAGCACAGCTCTGATGAGGAGAATTGTTGCTGGCCACCAGAGACCTGGCTCAGCAGTGAGAATAAAAAGACCATTCCCATTTCTTGGATGACTGGGTAGAAGATGTTTTAACTATTTGTCCTGATGATATCTTTATTCTTTGTTAAGTATACCAGAATGTATGGTTAAAGATAAATATGTACAAGCAGATTTTCATGCGTGATCATTTTTCTAGGGTAACTTAAGAAACAAAAATGAGAAAATTGGACAAAAAGATTGTCTATCTTGGTAGGAACAGTCTAAAGAAATGAAGTAGTAACAATGGAAGTAGTCTGATCATCCAGACTATATCCCTCAAACTTTAAACTCCAAGGTCACCCCCTACCTGGGGGCAGATGTCTCAAACCTTTTTGAATAAAACATCATTTTACTTACCTTTTAGGCCATCACTTGATCTTAGAGACATTGAATATTGAATTGTCTTTTACATGAATTAAAAAATTTATAGATTAAAAATTTCTAAAACACATATGATCAAACACAAATGTAAACCTTGAGAAATATAATATTCTCTCTTGGTTTCAGGTTCTGGGCATCCAAGTAAAATGCTTCCATGAAATCATCACTATAGGTTACAGAGTCTATCATTCTTATGATCTTCCATGGTTCAGAACACTGAGTTGGTAAGTAAAATCTGTTTCCAGTTTGAAAATCTGATTCTTTTCTAAAGTTTATAAAAGCAACATCCTGATAAGTCATTGTCCACTCAGTTTATGTTATAGATTGATTTTGGAGAAAGGTAAATAAAACGAATGTAATACAGTTTTGACAAGAAGAAAATCACCTGTTTTATCACAACACAACTTTTTTCATAGCTCATATTTCAATCTTTGTAGAGACATGTAATTTATAATAATTATAGACACCTTTCTTTTTTTTCCTTAACATTGTATCATACATTTTTATATCTTTTAGGATCATAATTTTATCAAAATGTTTACTCATAATCTTTTACTTTATTTTTCCTCAGTTGAAAAGAATACAAAATATTTTATATACACAAATGTATGTAAAATCAGAAAAAAATCATTGGATGATTTCAGCATTTAAATGTTTACTCATAGCTATCAAGACCTTGACCAGGAGATATGATATCATAAGAGTTTATATTTAACCTAAGTGGTCATGCCTTTTAGCATAGTTGTTTCATTAGTATCAGCCAAGGAACCTATCATCTTTGGGGTTTAGAGTAGTGAAAACAGTTTCTTGATTTTGGTGATAGCTGATTTTCCTCCTAGAAGTTTTCTTTGTGAGTAATGGCAAATGTAAGGGAAATGTTAGGTGGGTAAAGTAATTAGAGAACAATTAAATGTTACATCATGCAGTACTACTAAGTATGGGAAAAGAAGAGATAAATCAGGATGGGCTCCAGTGATTATAGAAGGCTTAATAAAATAAAAGAGAGATTAACTGACCCTGAAATAAAAACAAGCTTTGGATGAGAAGAGTACCCTGGGTTGGAGAAGCAGGACCCCTCAGGGTCTAGGTATGGCGTGTACTACAGATGGTGTTACATTGGTGACCTTCCTGAGCAGAGGTATTTATTGGAGAATAATGGGCAAAAAATTGGATTGGTGGGCTAGGTTAGGCCTTGATAGCCTTACAGAGGAGTCGAAGCCATATCACAGGATAACTGAAGAAGGTAATGCAGTTGATGGGGAAAAGAATACTTGTCCATTACTTTGGGAACAGTGGGGTATCATTCCATCTGTGAGAACCTGAGAGAATCCACTCCTTTTTTCTTGGACTGTTCTCTAGCCAGCTAGGACTTTTCCTTCCAGAGCAGGAGGCACAGAGGAACTATTTAAGGCAGTATTTGTCAGCCTTTTTCTGAGCTTACCCTCTGTCTGAGGGAGGGGACACACTAGAGGAGGGACAGATGATTTATGAAGTTTTAATTTAAAAGTTTCTCCTAGAGAATTAGACCAGAAACTAGGGGAAAAAACAGAGTCAACTACTTTCTCAGCAGGACCTCTAAAGCTCAGGAAATAATGCCAAGAGTTAATAAATGGGATGGCATCAAATTAAAAAGCTTCTGCACAGCAGAAGAAACAATTAGGAATGTGAAGAGGATCCTACAAAATGGGAAAAAATCTTTGCTAGCTATTCTCTGACAGAGGATTAATATCTAAAATATATGAAGAGCTAAAAAAACCCTTCATACCAAAAAATCAAATAACCAACAAATAAATGGGTACACGAATTAAAAAGATGCTTCTCAAAAGAATAAATACCAGTGGCCAACAAGTACATGAAAAAAATGTTCAACATCATTAGCAATTAGGAAAATGCAAATCACTACATTGAGATTTCATCTCATAGCAGTCAGAATGGCAGTCATCAAGAATACAAATAATAACAAACACTAGCAAGGTGAGGAAAAAGGAACACTTTTACATTGTTGGTGGGATTGTTAAATAGTACAACTACTATGGAAATCAGTATGGAGGTTCCTCAAAAGATTAGGCATGGAACTATGGTATGACCCAACTATAGCACTCTTTGGTATTTATCATACAGAATTAAAGTCATCATACTACAGTGATACATGCATACTCATGTTTATAGCAGCAAAATTCACAATAGCCAAATTGTAGAACCAGTTTAGGTGTGCATCAATGGATGAGTGGATAAAGAAAATATGGTGTATATATACACAATGGAATTTTATTCTAACATAATTAAAAATGAGATTATGTCATTTGCAGGAAAATGGATGGACCTAGAGACTATAATGTTGAGCAAAAAAAGCCAAACTCAGAAGTTATGTTTTTTCTCATATGCAGAAGCTAGAGAAGAAAAAGGAAAAGAAAGGTGGGGGTGGAGCTCCTAAAACTCAAGGGGAAGATCAGTAGGGGAAAGGGACCAAGCAGTGAGATGGGGAGGGAGCCGGGAAATACTGGGAAATAAATGATACTGGCCAAATTATATTGTTATATCGTGTATTGTATACATGTACAAATATGTAACAACAAATTCCATCAGTATCTACAACTGTAATGCACCAATTTAAAAATGTAGGGGCTGGGCTGAGTAGCATGCACCTGTAATCCCAGTAGCTCCAGAAGCTGAGAAAGCTGGATCATGATTACAAAGCCAGTGCCCCTGGGTTCAATCCTTGTTACAAAAAGAACAAGAAAAAAAATGTGGGGAGAAAAATCTTTCTTCTAGAGAGTTTTACCTGCCATTAGGTCCTTTTGCCCAATTTCCCTTTATCTGAGCATTGAGAAGAGCAGAGAAAGATGCCAATATTGTGTGCAAGACAGTGGGAGAAAGTTAGACTAACTCTTCTTCCTTTCTCAATCTTCTTAGAGCAGGTGGGGATGTGTCCTGATGGTTACTATTACAAAGCACTAAACTGTACTTTGAGTACTTGGGAGTTAATTTTCAGTGTGTATGTTGTATTTTCTGTATTGTTTTCTCTGGCATTATAGTTTGGGTTAAAGACATGAACTCTATTCAGTAGATAGTTGTTGACTGATTTTGAATTGGTCTTCTGAATTTGGTTTTGTATCATCAAAATGTAGAGAATTATTCAATTGAGGGGGGGAAAGGCTTCAAATATTTAAAGGAGTTAATTGTTTTTAAATTGTAGGTACTTTCTATTGTGTGTAAACTACTTTTTCTATGGAGAGACTGTGGCTGATTATTTTGCTACATTTGTTCAGAGAGAAGAACAGCTTCAGTTCCTCATTCGCTACCACAGATTTATATCATTTGCCCTCTATCTGGCAGGTAAGTTGAGGAATTATTCTGTGTCAATATGTAACTAGTATATTTCCCATGTTTATTTTTACTTACACTATTTAAATACATAATATACTTTATTTGTTATATTTTGTTCCAGTCTCTCTTTTTAAATATTTCTCATGTGTAAAGCTATTTCTTTTATTATGGTCTTAATTAGCATTTACTCCCTAATAGTGGTTTTTAAAAAGTACTAGATTAATAGTACTTTTAATTTTCTTTGAAAATTATAGTAAAGAAACTTTAAAATGCACAGTAATTATTAATCAAATAAAATTTACAAGGAAACTTTTGTATATATGTGTGTGTATAAATGTGTATTTCTCTAACACACATATAGAGAGAATATATAGGAAATAGAGCTTTCGTATAGAATTCATTAGAGTCATTAGTTTTCCCAACATAGTTACTGTATATGTATATGTTTATTTAGTGTGCTATACCACGTTTTTATTTTATATATTTTATAAAAGTTATATATTAAGTTAGAATTAACATATTTCTTTTCCATAAAATTTTACCAATCATAAAAGTCAAGACTCCTAATATAAATCCTAGCTATAGCACTTACTAGTCAAGTAAACATTGGGAAATTTAATTTTCTTCAGGTCTCACTTTTTTTTTTTTTTTGGTGGTGCTAGGGATTGAACTCAGGGCATTCGGCTTTGTGCATGCAAGGCAAGCACTCTACCAACTGAGCTATATCCCCAGCTTCATGTCTTAATTTCTTTGTAGAGTTTATAGAACAGTACCTGGAACTACAAGTATTTTTTACTATTACAATTATTTTTACTTTGAAAGAAGAAAATGAATTTTATTTGTAAATTTTCATTTTAGTTATTAATAGTTATTGCTTTAGCACCTAGAAATTTCTCAGTAAATCAATTTTTTTACTGTTAGTACAGTTTTGGAAATCTAATACAGTGTAGTGATTCCTTTCCATTTTTCATGAAGCTGAAAATCTACAGAGCATGTGAGTAGTGTGTCCAGTCCTTTAGTTTGTCATTTTATTCAGTAGTTATGATGATGATGTTCTTCATGGTGCTCCTACTTGAAGAAAGTCCTCTTTGGTTCCTTGGCCTTCTCATTCTAGAACATGAAACACAATCTGAAATGATAATGGTAATTTTCAGAGACTTGAGAGGGTTTTTTTTTTGTTTGTTTGTTTGTTTGTTTTGGGGGGATGGGATGCTACATTTTTGAAGGATTTTCTTCCTTTTACATCAATTGTTTTTTACAATCCAGTTTTCTGATTCTATTCCTTTATTTTGAAAATCATTACTAATGTGTTTGTAGAAAATAAAGTCTTAACAGGTATTAACATATTTCTTTTCTTTTAAGAGTAAAGGAAGGTATTTATTTGAAAGTAGTTGGTCTGCCTGCTTTAAATTCTGGTCAGTTTGAATGTTCCAATCATGAAGAGATTTTGGTGATACCAGGTTAAAGGATCATACTAAAATTTTGTGGAGTAAAACATTGACTCTGATTCTGTGTTTGTCAAAGCACATTTGTGGCACTATTTCCTGAGAAAGACTCTAGGTATTTTCTCTCATTTACCAAACTAACAATCTTGATTTTTCTTTTTTTATTTCTCCTCCTCCTCCTCCTCCTCCTCCTCCTCCTCCTCTTCCTCTTCCTCCTCCTCCTCCTCCTCCTCCTCCTCCTCCTCCTCCTTCTCCTCCTCTCCTTCTCCTTCTCCTTCTTTCTCCTCCTTCTCCGCCTCCTTCCTCCTCCTCCTCCTCCTTCCTCTTCTTCATGTGGTGCTGGTGACTGAGCCTGTGCACGCTTGGCCATAGTTCTACCATTAAGCTATACCTCCAGACCACTGATTTACTTTTTAAAATATAAGGAAGATTCTGCATAGATTATGTCCTAATTACAGGAGAGAAGAAAATAATGTCTTCTCAATTTGTATTTAGACTAACAACACTGCTTTTCTGGCATTTTTCAGTTTTTAGCACTAATATTAGCCAGAGAAATATGCACAGTGGCTTCTGTTCTTTTTTTTTTTTTTTTAAGGGATTGAACTCAGAGCCTCACAACATGTAGGCAAATGCTCTACTACTAAGCCACATTCCTCGCCAGACTTCTGTTATAGAACCTAATAATTATTTTATTTCCTGTGATTATTCTTATAATTACTTATTAATAATTATGATTAATTAAAATATAAAGCATTTTAAAAATCAATTTCAAAGATTTATAATTTATAATACAAGCACCACATTCTAGATTTTTCCCATTTTTCTAGGTATTAGGTCTACCTCTTAATTCATCTTAGAAATTATCTGTTGACTTCTTATTAAAACATGGCTCACTTCTCCATATTCAGTTGTTTTTAGTTGTTGTTTGCATTATTAAATGGCTACCTAAAATGTCATTTCCTATAGAATCAAATAGTATCTATGATTACATTTCCATTCTTGTTTTCCCTATCCTGAATAACTGCCTTACTCTATCTTTTAAACATAGGTAAATTTTGGAGTAGAGATGCTTAATTTTTCCTTCAGGTCTTTTCCGTGTTTGTTGGTAATTTTTTTTTTTTTTTTTTCAAATGTTTGCACAGATCAGATAGTCTGTCAATTCCCTTTGTCTCTGGAGACCTCTGAGTGGCTGTTCCCTGTAGACAAGCTGCTTGCAGGCCTATCACCCAGCTGCCCTTGTGATTTAGGTCCCTATTTTTGTTCTTTGTCTTCTACTTTTTTGGATATCACCCTCACTTTGTTGAAGCATAGCCTCAAAAAGTTTCCTGTGAAATGATGCATAACAGATGAATGTTTCTGTTCATACATTTCTAAAAATACCTTTAGTCTATTCTCATAGTTGCTTGCTTTGGCCAGAGCTTTGCACCTATTGTTAGGCTTTTACTTAGCACTCCAGCTCAGAAGCCGAGGCCTCACTCTTGCCCACCACCGAGCCTTTCAGTTTCTCTAGAAAATACCTTTAGTCACCCCTGGTACCTCATTTCTGCTGAAAGTTACCCATGTCTTACAGTTTCCAAATTTGCAGGCATTCTTTTTTTTTTTTTTTTTTTTCAATTCTCCTTGGCATGTCTTCAATTCTCTTTGTTCTCGCCAGGTTTTTTCTTAATTTCTTTAAATGTTGTTTTAGTGGTATGCCAGGATAGAATAGATTCTACTTGCTCAAAACAGAAACCTTTACCTAGTTCTTTCATTTTTCTCTTGGCTTAAAACAATTTATTAGTTTCTCTCATAGTCCTGTGAATTAACAGGGCTTAAACAGATAATTTCTAACTCAAAGCCTCTCATGATTGCCCTAAGAGGGAGGCTGTTGCTAAAGTCTTTTTAAGTCTTGAGTTGGCTAGATATTCAAGATGCAAATTAGTGCTGGCTATTCATTAGAGTGACCTTTCCCTCGGGAATGGATATTAGAGTACATTGGTGGGTTCTGAATGGGGAGCATGACGAGACTTCTACTCGCTTTTTGTGAAACTAGTTTTAAAAAGTGAAAACATAATATACACCCATACTAAAAAAAATTCAGACTAAAACGTAGTATTCTGTGAAACCATCTTCCTACCTCAGAGCCTTACTTACTCTCTCCAGGGGCTTACTACAGTTATTTCAGAAATCTCCCAAGTATTTAAGTTTACATGCTCCTAGCTCCCTTTACCTCTCAGTCCTTTTTATCTTGCTATGCTTGGGATTGAACCCAGAGCCTTGTGCACGCTAGGCAAGCACTCAACCACTGCCTAGCTCTTATTATTTTATTTTGAGACAGATTTTGAGTTGCCCATGTTGGCCTCTAATTTGTGATCCTCTTCCTCAGCCTCCCTAGTAACTAGGATTACAGGCACGTGCCACCATGCCCACTCCTTACCCATTGCCTTATACAAATAAGAGCAGACTATTCTCTACTTATGTTTTCCACCTAATATAGCACATAGTTGTTTTTATATCGACACCTCTAAATTGATCTCATTTTTTCCATATCTATAGTTACATCTATGTTGCTGTACAGTGATATTTGATTGGCAGAATGTCAGCATATAAGGTGACTACTATTCCCTTGGCTTACTTCCCCTTGGTGGTTTGCTATAACTTCTCAATTGAGTGGGGACAGATAAGTGAAATTTATTTTCTTTGTTGTTTCTGCTAATACATTTTACATATCCCTTCCCAACCAACACCTTTTTAGTTGTTTTTGTTTCATACATTAAACCTTTGGACTCATAAAATAAAAATCAGTGTTTTTTTTTTTTTTAACAATATAGTGATTTCTGCCTTGGTTTCACTTTTGCAATTGGTGTTTTAAGCTCATTAAAAGTCATCAGTCATTCTTTCAACATACATTTGAGTGCTCCCCCCAAATGCTGGATAGAGTGTCGAAGTGTTAAGGATATAAGGAGAAAAAATGTGGATAATGTACCTTCCAGAGTCTTAGAGCTGTTAATTGTGTCTCCTAGTGCATTGCTGAAACACGAACAAGGATCAGTGGGTTTATGAAGAAAGGGAAGAGAAATGGCAGGTGCATGAAAAGTAGAGGATATGCAGGTCTCTGTCCAGTTACTGGTTGGTAAGGGCATCTGGGAGGAGCAGCCAGCTAGCTGTGCTTGGCAGGGGGTGTTCTGGGTCTGTAGCAGGCATTAGAAACTGGAAAGATAGGCAAGATCCATATTTTGAGAAGATTTGTATGTCATGGGTAGGGTTTGGACTGTAACCCTGGAATTCCACTGGAGGATTTTATACTAAAAGAAGATATAATGAGATTGTGCTTATATAAGGGGATTGGAGACATTAGCAGTGAGACTAGGTAGGAAACTACTGCTGAAATTCATGCTAAAGAGAGTAAGAGCTAGAATCCTTAAGGTTTGTAATTACTACTAAAAGGGTTATGAATAAAAAAAATAAAGATACTGTAGTTGATCTTAGAACCCACCAGTTATTTTATGACAATTTATGAAAAATTATATTTTGTATCCCTGATTACTCATTTTATTGAAATAATTATATATTCATCTGCAGTTATAAAAACTGATAGTTCCCTTTTATGTTTTTCCCAGTCTCCACCAGTTGTAATGTTTTGCAAAACTCTATTATCACATCGGAAATTGATATTAGTACAATCCTACAAATGTTACTCTTAAAATGCACCCTTATAGTAAACTAGGAGATACTGAGTAAGATGATGAAACTTCTAATACAAAATAAACATAGAATTTTATGTCTATTATTGTTTCAAGCATGGCCTACATATGGCCTATTGAACTATAAATACCAGCTGTGTGACTTCTGTTTGTTTTATTCCCAGGGTTCAATGCAGGGTCTGGCATTTAGATTCCCAGTACATATCTGTTGGATAAATGTTAAAAGGCTGAGAATGTGCAGGGTACACACAGTGCTTTTTAGTGATATTTTCTTACCATCAGTGTTTTATTTGTGGTTTTGAGCTGGTTGGCAGCATTATGAGCTTGGTCTAGCAAATGAAGTTAGACTTTAAAACATAAGTGAAGAGGTAGAGTGCTATATTGAGATATTTGTACCTTTCACTAATACTGTGTAAATCTTTGGAAGTTGGTTAAATAATATTCCAAAGGCCCTGTCAGAATTTTTAGTTTTATTATAGTGATAAAATGACTTTGAAAAGTTTAGGTCTTTACAGAATTTAAAAGCAGAGATAGCCCATCCTATTCCATTGATGTTAAATTTTATTGAAATGTGATGTAGATATCTCTGGGCCTGACCCCCTCATCAAATTAAATGACTTATTTCCTAGCATTCAAGATGACTCACTCTCTAGAACCTGGAGGTCATTCTGACATTTAGATAATTTTGTCATAAAGTGAATTTGATAGATTGCAAAAAAAAAAAAAAAAAAAAAAAAACCATTGAGACTGAAACTATTTAGACAAAAAAATTGCTTTAAAGACTAGATACATATAAAAAAGAATTTTACATCAGTTTGGTGATTTGGATTTGGGGCTTTTTAGAAACTAGAGCAGCCATATGTTTAGCAGTGATGGGTAAATGGACTTAATGGGTTTGACCCTTAATATCACCACCTTAGTATCTGTTTAGCCAAGTAGAGTGACACACATATTGTATTTAATAAATACTTTATTGGGCTTGGGATGTATGTAGCTTGGTGGTAGAACACACCAGCATGCACAAGACCCTGGATTTTATCCCCAGTGCCACAAAAAGAAAAAAACCAAGATTTCCCTTAATCTCGGCTGATATGATTAATTGATTTGTATGAAAATTTCTTGCATATTTATTTAAATTTGTTTGTAAACAGCTCGATTGTAGTTTAGTGTCTGAATAAAGGCCTACATAATACAGCATGCTTTTGCATTTATTTAATATGATGTTAGAAATTTTTGGAGTTTTGATTGTTTAGTGATTGGAATGAAAAATGTAGCCAAGTAAAAAATGAGGGAAGAGTTAGTGAGCTCCACTATTCATACCTGGGTTCATCTTAATGGCTATTAAAAAAAAAAAAACTTTATTTTTTCTTGGTATTTTTGTCTTTTCAACTAGACTTTGAACTCTTGAATACTAATACCTATCTTATTTATTTATTTATTTATTTATTTATTTATTTATTTATATCTGTGTCTGGCATATCATAAATCCTCAGTAATTTTTTTTTATTGTTTGTCTATTTTTCTGAAATTTCCTCAGCCTCATCTTTTGGACTTCTCAGTGCTTCATTTTTTCTGCCCACTTTCTTAATAAATCGCATTCTCTTTTGTTGTCCTTTGAATACACTTCTCTGTAGTCTATTAGACAATTGGCTCTTCCATAACCACCTGAGGAAATCCTTGATACTGGGCAATAGGATGTACACAATTGATTGTTGCAGACAATACCAGGCACAGTATTGTGTTCATGAGTGATGATCAGTAAGTGTAGTTAAACATGATTATGCATTCAGAACTATATATCAGGAAGCCCTTCCAATGAACACTTTTTAAATAAGATCTGTAATTTTAATTGGAAAAACAGCCATATAAATATCCTTTGCTAATTAGGGAAAAAATAAGACTGGACCTAAATGTATAAAATATTCTTCCCATAGATTTATTGAAATGCAACATACATAGGCATTTTTTATATTTAAAATAAAATGTTCACATGGCCATATGGTTACAAATGAAAATTATGAAGTTCATATATTAATTTAAAAATTTTATTTGTTCTTTTTAGTTATATATGACAGTAGAATCTATTTTGATATATTTATACAAACATGGAATATATCTTGTTCTAACTAAGATCCTAGTCCTGTGGGTGTGCACAATGTTGAAATACACTGGTGTATTCACATATGTACACAGGAAAGTTAGATCAGATTCATTCCATTGTCTTTCCTATTCCTGTCCACCCTCCCTTCCCTTCATTTCCACTGAACTTCGGTTCTTCCTTCCCACACCCCTTGTTGTGTGTTAGCATCCACATATCAGAGAGAACATTTGACCTTTGATTTTTTTTGGAATTGGCTTATTTCACTTAGCATAGTAGTCTCCAAATTCATCCATTTGCTGATTAATGTCATAAAGCTCTTCTTCTTTATGACTAATATTCCATTGTGTGTATGTTGTATGTATGTGTGTGTGTGTGTGTGTGTGTATTAATACTGTTCTTAGAGTCCAGTATTAAATCCCAGTAAAATCCCTCTTTTCACCCACCTCACTGAGAAACTATTTATCCACTTTCCTTGACTCATGCCATGGAGCAGCTTGGAAAGCAGCCAACTCTACACCTATTCTTCCTCATCCTCCCTCCTTTTTTCCCTTTAGAACCAGTTAAATAGATAAACTTTCAGCTTTCTCATCCTCAAAACCTCAGTGATGGTGGCCAGCAGGCAACTGATACACAGTGAGAATGAGCAGATACACCGTATCTATTTCTTTTGGGAGTTGGAGCGGCAAAAGCATGTTTTTTTTTAAAGTAATATTTAGCTTTAGATATGCTACGGAAACTTTATACATCCTTATTTTAAATCAAAGAAGTGTATGATCTTCATGTATACAGTAGTCAACTAATTATATCCTGGGTCAAGTAAGAGTGAGTTTCCAAGACTGTTTTAGGTAAAGTGTCCATTAGGAAAATATTGAATGATTCTGTTGGTGATTTTGTTGGAAGAAATGCTTAAGGGTAAAAAAGGCCATATGTTGTAGAGTTGTATTTGTGAGGAGATAATTCACATTTGATGATATTGAGAAACTCCCAGGGCTGTCGTGGGAGAGTTAGGGGATCTGTTGGACAGTAAAGGAGGTTCCAGCAGCACGTCCCATGTCTCTGCTTTTCCCTTTCCCCATCAGCCTTTGCACCAAGTCCAGTCTACATCCAACTTTAGCCATGGATCATTTGGCATAAATCAGTATAGAAATTACATTATTACTTGAGCTGCCTGACAAATCTACCTGCTATGGAAGAAAAACTTAAGAAAAACAATATTAGAAGGAGTCTTTTATAAGCTGGCAACTGCAATGCCATGAATTCCATGGTTTAGCTCTCACTGCATTCTTTGTCTCTCAGATAGCATAATGGCTTTCAGTTATTTTTCCACTCAAAAAATATTTGTTACTGTTGCAGTTTAGTTAAATGACTCTGTAGATGACAAATAAGAGGTAGGAACCTACCTGCTTCCTTTGTCACCCTCCCTTACACACTCACACATTTAAATTCAGTCTTGATCCAAGTTACCCATGGTTTGGTCCTTTCCTCCTCTGAGAACAGCAGCACACTCGCTTACTCTAGTGCGTAGTATTGCCTTGATAAGTGAATATGGATTTTCAAAGGACAGTGTTTTATTTTATATTGATGAGATCAGTTGATTATTCATTTTCTCTCTCAGGGAACCTACTCCAAAGATGTTGCAGAATACCTGACTGTTCATCTGAAATCAGACTGAATTTATGAGTTTATATGTTTTTCTCAGTACTCACCTCTGTTAAAAAGCATATTTAGCTGTCTCTAGAAATTTACCGACATATGGGTTAAGAAGTACTTCATATTCTCATTTTAGTATTTGATTATTAGATTCTCTTAATTAGGCAAGGATTTTTTAGTTATGTTTTCATTGTAATTAGGAATAGAAATATAAATTCAAATACTATTGGGAATCTTGAAATTATTAAAAGTACTATATTTTATTATAGCTATTATAATACGGTTCTGAGAAATTTTAAGTTTTAAATTTTATAATACGGTTCTTCACCTGAATCTTGCTAACATGGATTTCTGTGGACCCATATGAGTCTTGAGCCTCAGTAGGATCTGAGAATTACTTTAGCCCTGTGAGCCTTAGTAAATTAATAAAACCTTTTGTGTATTTTTTGATCTATAAAATGAAAATGATAATAGTATCTATATTATAGAAATAGTGGAAGAATTAAATGAGTTAATATGTGTAAAATACTTATACAAGAGTCTAATGTGTTCAATAGATATTAGCTTCCATAATAGTTATTATTAATTTCATATTGTATAGAGATTGAAAAGATTCTGTGCATATTCTTGAAGAATTGACTTTTTTGTTGTGATGGAACTCAGTACCTCTTACAAGCTGGGCAAAATCTCTATCACTGAGCTACACCCCCTGCCCAGTCTTGATGAATTGACATAGCAAATAAATTTTACTTAACTGAAATTCAATTGTTTTTTATATCCACATATTAGCAAGGGAGTAGTTTATTTAATTAATGCAAAAGAAGATGTGTATTGAATTTGTGCTGTGGAATATGTTAGGCACTTTGGAGATCGCAAGATTGTTTTCCTCAGGAAACTTATTTAAAATGCTTAATATAAGATAGTAGGAAAAATGGCATATGAGTAAGTTCCTAGGATATGCCTGGATGAGATGTAGGAAATTGGTTTATTTGGGCTCAGAGAATCTTATGCTTTGTACCAAATTGTACAGCAAGCACATGTTTTTTGTTCTCGAACAGGTTTCTGCATGTTTGTACTGAGCTTGGTGAAGAAACATTATCGTCTGCAGTTTTATATGGTGTGTATTAACCATTATTCTGTAGTCACTGTGTAATTTAAAACTTTACCTCTCTTTTTTCTGTAGTGAGGAAATAACAGTCTTTTGGTTGATGTCTTGCTTGAATGTCATAGATATTTCAATTTTGGATGACTATTCAACTTAAAAAATGAAATTGACAAGTATTTGAGGAATTAAAGTTTTTAACTATTCTCAAAATTTACTAAAAGCTTTTTCTAAATATTTTCAAAGACTGAAATTTAACAAAGTATTTGAATTCCCTAAATATGTAGAACTATGGAAAGTTTTCATAGACTCTTGGATAGTTGCTAAGTCTGAGAAGCATCTACTGTATTGTTTTGTGGAAATTATCTTTGTTTTCTTGCTGTTAATGTGAGCATAAAAAGAGCAGAGCATGTATTTTCTTGGTAGTTATAGTTAATGATAGAATTGTAGAATTCTATTTGACATAAGTTATTTGTTCAGTGAATCAAAGTCTGTTTTATGAAATTTGTCACTTTACATGATGAACTTGTTTTTATTTCCTTAAAATGTAGCCATTTATAACATTAAAATACAATGTAGTGTTTAGATGTGTGAATTCATGTATTAGTAAGGCTCATTTTAGGTGTGAATTATATTTCATTTTTGTGTTTTGCTTTTCTTCATCAACATACTGTGCTAATTATTGTTGCTAAGAAATTGTAGTATTTCTTACCTTTCTAATTTCAGGGGATCTGAGGAGTAAAATTCTTAGTGAAAATCTGCAAAGAATCAAGACAAATTAGAAATAATAGAATCTCCTGTGAAAAACAGTTCTCCCTTGGTATCCTCAGGGAATTGGTTCTAAGACCTCCGGGATACCAAAATCCACAGATGCTCAAGGGCCTTATATAAAATGGCATCTCATAGAACCTGTACTCCTTGTCCCAAATGCTTTAAATAGCCTCCAGATTACATAGAATACCCAACACAATATAAATAGTTGTTGTAGTCCATTATTTAGGTAATAATGACAAGATAAATAAGTTTGTATGTGTCCAGTACAGATGCAGTTTTTTTCCCACCAACTATTTTCAGTCTCTGATTGGTTGAACCACAGATGGAAGACATGAGTATGGAGAGACCACTGTGTAAATGGTGTCTACTGAAAAAAAAAATCAATCAGTTATGCATTTCAGAGAAACTAGTATAAAAGAATTGGGTCTTTTAAGCAGATAAAGATAGAATAAAGCAAAATAACAAATATAAAATACTGTTTTCTAAGATGAGAACTGGGTTTGTTAAAAATAAATCAAAATTTCAATTATTTTAAAAAATCATAAAGTCCAGTTAAAATGACAATGTTTATGGTACATAGAAATGTTAGCCTCTCTTGGTTCATATTCTACTCATAATGATTGTGCCAAAAGTCATCCATATAGCCATCTCTCAGGCCAGAAGGATAAAACATAGAGGCTTTTGAAAATTTGAAATTAAATACTGCCATTGAATAGACCTGTGAAGATCAACTTTCAAGTCTCAAAAGATGGAATTTAAGGGCTCTTGAATCTTTCTGGTTAGAATAATTCAAAGTTTGAATGATAAACTGCAGGGAAAATGGTTGCTAAAATTTTCATCACCATAGAACACTGCCATTTAAATGTTGTATATTTCTCATTATTATTTAAATCATGTAACTCTATATTATGGTTTATTTTTTATGTGTATTTTTAAATTTAGTAGTATATCTCACTGTTACTGGCATTCCAATTTGTATAAAACTAAAATTACCTTTAAGTGTTTTCATCACTTTAAGATTCTAGTAGGCAATATAATGAACATCACTTACTAACTGCATTTATTTTGTATGACCTTATCTTACAAATTTTGACCAAAATTCATGGCAGAAATTTGTGTTTCAAAATTTCTCTTGCTTCCTTGGCTGCACTGATCACTTGTGTTTACTAATTTTTGTGTCGTTGGGCTATTAACAGTTCGCATGGACACATGTCACTTTACTGATAACCGTTACTCAGTCACATCTTGTCATCCAAAATCTGTTTGAAGGCATGATATGGTAAGGGCACAGTATTATGCTGTGTTATGTTTATGTCTAGCCCTTTTGAAACTCTTTAACATTAAGCAGTGTTTTGCAGATGTCTACTAAAATGTTCTATCTCTTGTTTTACTGTTCCATTAAAAATTACTGAGCATTGCTTACTATTTGTCAGTTGAAGATAAAGTGAAAATGTTTTTTAAAATTCTAAATAAAATGCAGAAAGCCCTTCCAAATTACATTTTCAGATGCAAATAGACTATAATGTGACCTTTCACATACGATAGATTTTTTTATTTATTATTATTTTTTTATTGGTTGTTCAAAACATTACAAAGCTCATGACATATCATCTTTCATACATTTGATTCACGTGGGTTATGAACTCCCATTTTTACCCCAAATACAATTTGCAGAATCACATCGGTTACACATCCACGTTTTTACATAATGCCATATTATTGACTGTTGTATTCTGCTACCTTTCCTAGATTTTTGACAGTTTATTATTTACATGGAATGCAAAAAGAATATGGAAGTTTGCCTGTCAGCACAGTGTGCTGGAAATGCATGTTCTCTGGGTGGAAGTGAAGCTGGGAAGGTTTTCATTTGCTTTTATGTGGAAGTAGGTTTCCAGATTCTAGATGAATGGCATTGCTAGCTTCATAGCAGTGGCTTGTAGATTTGGAAAGTGTTTTTATTAACTAAAAATTAGTTGGAATAAAGAAATTTTGTCTTAAACCTATTTATTTAAAACCCATTAATTAAAATCTTTTATAGTTGTTGAGGTTTTTTAAAATAAATTTTACACCCTTTTGAGCATCATGCTTTTTTTTTTTTTTAACCAAGATTTGTATGTGCGCATGTGTGTTACAGACACTTGAAATCATTTATTTTAAAATGGTCATATAAACCTTTTGCTGGGGGACAGTTACTGAAGTATAAAGATTCTTTCCATTTAGTAGGGTTTACTGTGATTACAGTCTAAGATAAAAAGAATTAAAATTAATAATTGTTCCTGAAGAGAATTTGCATTAAGGGCTTGGTATAAATTAAGCAGATTGTACTCTATCTAAACAAGTGACTCATTTCCATTTTAAAAGACTGCTTTTCTTAAAAGAAATTTTATTTTTTATAACTTGTTCCTCATAAAACTAAAATTTAACTGTCCCTAGCTGTAGAAATTGATTATGTAATATTTTTGTTAGCAAGATTCTCTTACTATGTTAATTTATTTACAGATTTTTGCTCTGCTTAATTGCTAAATTAGCAAATTTAGTTGATATTTACTGCTTATACTAATAATGTTTTTGTTAAATGTTATGTTCTGGACTAGGCCACAGTGTAATCCAAAGCGTTATTACATTGGTTCATTATGAGTCATAACTTACATGAATATTTGCTATTTAATCATAAGGACTTTTTTCTGCTGACTTTTTTTCTTTAAAGGTTCCTTGTTCCAATATCAAGTGTTATCTGCAATGACATTACTGCTTACCTTTTTGGATTTTTTTTTGGAAGAACTCCTTTAATTAAGGTAATAGAAAAATGATATAAGCAAGCCATTCCTAAACTCTCCTTAAATATTAGCCCATGGAAACCGTTTCCAGCATCATGATATTGTTACACAAGTTTTGATTTCTGAGGTACCCTGACTTTCCTTAGCTGCACCTAGCAGCTGCAGTGGAGCCATATTTCCCACTAATTCCTTCTGGGTTCTTCACCAGCTACCCATTTGACTCCTGAGTAAGGACTGGACTCCATCATGTTTTCTCTGTATCTCATTTCTGCTCGTTTTTCTCATCAGTCGTTGGTGCAGTTCTTTAGCCCTCTCCCCAGGTTGTCTCCCCATGTTGTCTCTTTTACCAGACTTCCTAAAGCACCATCTTCATATGCTCTTGCCCATTTGTAAGTTTTTTTTACATCCAAATGCATTTCACAAAAGGATTTGGAGCTCTATAATAAAGTACTGACACAATGCAAGTAATAATAAAAGCTTAAGACAAGAGAAAGGAAAATACACAGGAACAGACCATGTTGTTTTGCCTTAGATTTGGATCTGTTTATGGGTAATGGAGGCAAAGAAAGAAATGAATTAAATTCTCTAGTTCTTATTTTGGGGAAGAAGGAAACAAACCAATATTTCATGGAAATGAAACCATTTTCTTAAACTGATTTCTTTATTTTTAAAAAAAGCTTTTCATGTCAGGGTTTCAGATAGAATTCACTCAGTTGACAATTTGGGCAAAGCATTCATTCATAGTCCCATAAATACATTACTTGGCTACTTTATTAGAGGGCAGTTTTGGAGGGCCTGAAACCATTGTTCAGATATAAAATCAGAGTGAGATAGGGTAGCCAAAGTGTTTCTGGAGAAATAACCATCAGAAAACCTTACGTAGACTGTACCCACTATAGGAGTATAGTCACAGCATTAGGCTGAGCCATAGGGATATGGCCAAGTAACGTATGTATCTTTCAAATGTCCCTAAAGCTACTGCAGCATAAGAATAAGTGTAAGTATTCAAGATGTCTATATAGGCTAGTTTTGGCTTAGGAAGCCTTCAGAAAGACTGTTAGAGCCATAGAGGGATCTCAGTATCCAATTTTTAAAAAAATTAATGATATCTTTTTAATTTTTTTAGAAGTAGATGCACACAATTCTTTTATTTTTATTTATTTATTTTTATGTGGTGCTGAGGATCTAACTCAGTGCCTCGCATGTGCTAGGCAAGCCCTCTACCACTGAGCTACAACCCCAGCCCTCGGTAACCAATTTGAAACATAATTTTGTCAGAATGGATTAGCAGTATAAGGTATCCTCGGTCATTGAGCAACTGACCTTTAAATTGACATGATATGAGTTCAACTTGATTTGATAAGCTATATTTAAACTAATTAGACACTTTTGAATTTGAGGCCACTCCTACTTAATGGCAATAACACAGGTACTGAATCTAAGAGAAGCTATATCCATCCCTTTTCTAAGGCAGAATTCTTTCCAGATTTGTTATGAAACCATTTCTGCCAACCATTTTTCATATTGCCCTTTTTGAACAACATGATAAGAAATCTGTAAAGAGCTCAGGTAGCTTTAGCCTGTAACCTGTTTCTATCCTCAGAAATTTCCCTTTGATATTTGGCTTCTGTTCTTGTTGTTCTAAATAAGTGATCATCACAAAGACCACCAGTGATCTCTTGATGATCAATCCCTGCACACATGTGGTGGTTATCAACATCTTGGGGCAGTATAACAGCATCCACTCCTCAGTGTGTTTCTCCTGCCTCTGCAACAACGAATTCCAGACTTTCCTCCAAATTTCTCTCCCTGAATGCCCCACTGACTAGGAAAACAATAGACAACATATTCCTTTCTTTCTGGAGATAGATTGTGAAAAAAGGGAGGAGGATATGTGAATACTTGGGGAAGTGAATACAGTATTTGGGGCCATGGATTATTTTACTATCTCAGAAAGAAATCTGTTGTGGATATTGCATTTTAGAAATATATGAAAATCTGGTATGCTACAATGTCATTGTTTTATTGTACTCAATTCTGTTTTGGCCAGTAGCAGGTCAACACATCTGACCAAGTGTGTACTTGGAATGAATATGTGTCATTCTTACTCCAAAAGAAGCGTACAAGTCATGGGATGACCATTTCAATATGGAGTTTATAGTTCTTTGTGAGGGAAAAAAATTAATTTGAGGCTTTTTAACAGAAACAGATATTCACAGCATGCTACACACGTTTGAGGGCCTACTATGTGTTAGATGCTAGTCAAAACATTTGCACAAGTAAATCAGGATCATAGAAAGAAGGAAAAAGAGTTAAGACTATTTCCATTAAGAAAAAAGGAAGGTACAGATGTGCACAGTATTGAGGAGAGCCTTGAACAGAGTCTGTATTTTGTGATGCAGTAACTTTTAAATTTTATTTGGCCTTTTTTAGTTGTCTCCTAAAAAGACATGGGAAGGATTCATTGGCGGTTTCTTTTCTACAGTCGTGTTTGGATTCATTGTGAGTTTTACTAGGATTTTTTATTTTATTTATTTTGAAAAACTGTGCTGAGTTTATTAGTCTATTTTAAACCTAAAAAATTAAACCACTAAATGTTAATAATGTACTTATTGAAACCTACTAAACAGAATCAGTACTGTACCCTAGTAGCTGTCATCCTGGCTGCATATCAGAACCCCCTGGGGACCTTAAACAAAATCTATTTCCCAACACAAGACTTATGTCTCAGACTTATCCCAGAATGATTAACTTCCACAAGGTGGTCCTGTGTTTAGCCAGATATAAGATCCACAATTGTTCTGTTGTGTTTGGGTAGTCTCTAATAGCTGTTCTGCTTGACGTGGGGATAGAGGTGCTGGGATAGGCAGTATCTTTGAGTAATAGCAGTGAGTGCAAATGATGTTGAAGAGCTCTGTCTTAACACATGCTGGTCAGTTGGCTCAGTGGGTGGTTCCTGCTGTAAGCCTAAGTTGCAGAAAAAAATACCTTAATTATGAATAATTAATATTAACTTTTAGCCATGAATAATGGGTATTTTTCATGTTTAAAAATTAAGTTTATGATTATGGTGTTCTCATTAAAAGATGACTAGTGAGAAATAATAAGGGTACAATAAAATGACTAGATACAAAATAAATGTACAAAAGGTTCTTGTTAGGAAGTTCAAATTTTTAAGAGTCTAGTCCCTGATAGTTGTCATTAATATAAAATATTGGAGATCCAGATATGAAGTAACTAATAACAACATGAAACTTCAAGAAAGAGTAAATATACAAATAAATGGAAATATGCCATTATCCTGGACGGGAAAACCACCATAATTCATCTGTTTAATTTCTAAGTTTAGTTTATTTTCAGTGAAAATTCCCATAGAAGCTGGGTGTAGTAGCTGCTTGGGAGGCTGAGTCAGGAACATTACAAGTTCAAGGCCGGCCTCAGCAACTTAGTAAGATCATGTCTCAAAATTTTAAAAATATGCTAATAAAATTATTATAAAGTTTTTGATATATTGATGAGGTAACAATTGATAAATGTAATAATGAAAAAATTTCCAATCCCATTTAGTGTTTATCAAAAAGCAAGAATAATCAAAACTTGAGGTAATACTATTAGAATTTGGTATTATTAAAATTAGACAATAGGAATAGCTCATATCATTGGAAGAAAATAAAGATGCTCCACAAGAATGTAATATATGACAAAATAATGGTTAATGAAATTACATATAAATTTTTAACCAAATGGTTTTGAGGAAACTGAAGCAAAATCAATTTGATCTGTTTCTAGTATCATATTTGAATTTCTTAAACCATTCTTAAATAATATAATGGGGCAAGTGGCTGTAAGAGAAATGAAAAAGAGAATAAACTGTTATCTAGCAATTAAAATTTATAATAGAATATTTTATTTCATGCATCTTCCACTTCCATGGCTAAGGACAACTAATTTAAAAAACTGCGGTGATGTGGCCAGGGAAAAGAACAATTAAGTCAGAGTTTTCTGGGTTGGTGAAGAACAACGAGACTTTTCACCATATTATTTGGTACAGTTTTCTTTGTAATTTTGAATTACTGGTTAATTATTAGTTGATAAAATTAATATAAGCTGTGTACAACAAACAACAGTCCTTTACTCTTCCTATATCCTTAAAATTCAGTCCTTTATATCTTTTTAGCTCCTATGATTAAATATCTGTATTTTTAAAAAGTAAGATTTTGCTATATTGCTTTTCTGAGTGTTCAAATCAGCTTCTCTTTTTCTTCCTTGCTACCCTACCTTATCCCTTCCTGTCACACCCTCACGCTTTGTGTGGTTGTACAGAGACCTCATTGCTTTGAGAAACTGTTTTGTTTTATAAAGGTCTTCCAAGACTTTTGCTGGGAAAATTATGACCTTCAAACTTTAAAAATATATAGCAGAGGGGTTAGGTATATACGTCAGTGGTAGAACACTTGCCTAGCACCTGCCATGTTCTGAGTTTGATTCCCAGCTGTGCTAAACAACAACAACAACAACATAGCAGAAAGTTAATATAGAGAAATTCTGGCATTTTGTGTGTATCTGTATCTGTATATCTATATTTAGGCAGTGTTTCATGAGTTCTTTGTTATTCAGGCTGCCTATGTATTGTCAAAATACCAGTACTTTGTGTGCCCAGTGGAATACCGAAGCGACATCAACTCCTTTGTCACAGAATGTGAGCCCACAGAACTTTTCCAGCTTCAGAGTTACTCACTTCCTCCCTTCCTACAGGCAGTATTGAGACAGGTAAGAGTAAAAGGTCAATATCACCTGGTTAGGAATCTTTTCTTTCAAAAAGTAAGCTTCCTCTAAAAGTGAGATTTAGGGTTGGGTATATAGCTCAGTTGGTAGAGTGCTTGCTACACATGCACAAACAAGGCCCTGGATTCAATCCCCAGCACCACAAAAATTTAAAAAATAAATAAATAAAAGTGAGATTTAGATTTTATGCATAATTTTTAACTTTGTCATATTGAAGTGCTTTTTATGTCTGATTATAATCAATAATATGCTCTATTCTCTTGTGATTTTTATAAACGTAAAATGAGTTAATATTGCAAATTGTATACTAGGAATGTATTTGCCTTATGATTTCATTACTGATGGTAATTATTTTGTGTGTATTTTTAAAATATTTTAAAATATTTGATAGATTTTTATAAAGCCCAATGAATTAGAAAGAGTTTTACATGTTACTTATATGAATTAACTCAATTTAAAACTCATTTAAAATTCATCATTCAAAAGAGCCCTTGATTTTTAGAGGACATTTATTACTACAGAAAGCTTCTCCTAAAAAAATGAATTTTCCTTCCAAGAGCACATTGCTACCATTTAAAGCATTTTTGAGGTGTCACATGGAAGGATGTTGATATGCTGTCCAGGAGAGCCCACCTGGTCTCTTATCAGGATTCATGTATGTTTGGCTAAACTGGGGGCTCAAGTGATGGGTGTGTGCACATGTGCATGTGTGTGTCTCTGAATCACTTTGTTTTTAACTAAAATCCATAATTTGTTAGTAGTAGATTAAACAACAAATTATTTCTTGACCGCTCAATACATGAATACCAAGAATTTTTTCAGTGTCCAAACCTCCTGTTACCTGCTGTAAAAGCATTTAATGCTGTCAATCTTTGGTCCCAGGTAAGACCGTTGCTTTGAGTACAGGTCCAAAAGGTCATGTTATCAAACACCTTTCTCATACTACACACATTATTATTTTCTATATAATTGTACTTAGGGAAGCAAAAGCTATGAGTTCAGAAAATAATTTGACTGCAGGATTCTCTTTTTATTATCTTTTCCCTAAATCTTTTGTAATTGTAACTGTCTTGCTGAAGCTCATTTTGGCAGTTCTTATTTTTGTGTTTCCATTGCATTATATTAGTTTCAAGAGAAAGAGCCAATTTTCCCCTTATTTCATCATAAGAAATTTAAGTGAAATAAAGTACAAAATTAAATTATATAACAAAAAAATAAAGTATTACTGGTGACAAAACAAAACAGAGGTAAAGATTAATGAAGCTGTATGCCCTACAACCCAATTGTTGCCACTGTTCTTGGATGAAACAGAAGGTATTGCACCAGTAGCAGGATTCAGTGTGCAGGTGCTTGGCAGTATGCTGCCGAGAAAACAGAGGCGCTGACTCAGTAGATGACAGAGAGCTTACAATGTTTTTCTTCTGTGATCTGTGAAGATTGTAAAAAGTTAACAAAAATATGGCATATGCTTTGAATTAGTGTTTATGTCATGGTTCCTAGATTAGGTGTTATTCTCAAATACAGTTTTAATGCAGATATTCCCAATATTGCCTTCCCTCTCCCTTTTTTTTTTCCTCTTTAGGAAACAGTGAGTTTATATCCTTTCCAGATACACAGCATTGCTCTTTCAACATTTGCATCTCTAATTGGCCCATTTGGAGGCTTCTTTGCCAGTGGGTTCAAAAGAGCTTTCAAAATTAAGGTATGTATTTAGATTCTTTGTTGTTAGTGAACATAATTAGAGAATATATCTTTGGTTAGAATTTGATCTCCTGTAGGTCTACATTAAGACCTTAGGCAAAAACTATTCCTCTAATTTGTTTTAACTTCTCAAAAATGCTGTCTGGCTGGTTAGAGTGTGTTCTTTTTGTTAGGCTTTGGCCATACCTTCCTAGTATATTTTTAAGTATCATGTCAGCCTCTTATAGAAATATCATGTTCCTTTAATGTTGGTATAAACACAGAATGTTATCCTTTCAAGTGTTCATCCAAAAATCTAGCCATCAATTGTCCAAAGTTTAGGGTTTTGCCAACCTCACTTGACAGAATATGCAGAAGAGCTGTTGGATATGTAACTATCATTGTGCTAAATTAGAAGTCATCACATTCTTTATGGGGAAGTGCAAATAATGAGTTGTTTTACATTTTGCAAACCATCTGTCCTATTACAGATGCTCAGCTCTGAGCTTTGCTATTGCAGCGTGAACACCCCTACCCCATAGACAATGTTTCCATGAATGACTGTGGCTGGGTTTTACTAAAACTTTACAAAACAGGTGTGGGCTGAATTTGGTCTGTGCAACCTAGTTTGCTGACCCTGCTCCTGATACTTGAAATCACCCTATGTTTTGTTTGGTTAAGATAGAGCATCAGGGAAGTGATGTTATCTCAGTCTCCCTCATGTGGTTTCACTAAGTTAAGGTGGAAATGTATGCCATGAAGGGTTAGGGAATAGGTTTTGAAGGTGGGATGGCCATGGAAGGCCTCTCTGAGAGGTGGCATCTGAGAAGAGAAGGAGAATAAATCCTGCAGAGAAATCTAAGGCAGCCACACAGGATGAGTACCTTGCAAAGGTTTCTAACCATCTGCAGAGTAGTATTGAGTTGCTGTGGTTCTCTTATGCTTCACTTGGTAGGGAAGAGAAGGAAGGAAGTAGATAGGCAAAAATTAACCAAAGAGTTCTTCAATAATTGTTTTAAACAGAGAAATTTTATAGTTAATATGGTATTTGTTTTAATGGTCTCTAGTCCAAGAGTTCTCATTAAATGGCAAAATATTTTTTGCATGTCTGAAATGAAGGTATGATTATGGTTGGCATTTGTATGTTTTTAGGTTACTTGAGTGAGCTAGAGCAATTGGGTATTTCCATTTCTTGGGTGCTTAGACAAGTCAGTTTGCAAAGGCTTATTACTCATCCTCTCAATTTGGCCACTTAATGGACTAACTAACGTGTCCCAGATGAGCTAGCTGCTTTGATTTTCTTTTTACCTCAACACTAAAAAAGAAGAAGAAATATTTATCATAGAAATAAAATGTTTATTTCAGAATAAGAACTATTAGAATAAACATGAGTTAGAACCAGTTGTACATCTGTCAACCACATTAAAATATTTCACAAATCACTTCTGGCTAAACAGAAGGAAATTAGATTAGTAATAGCTGATATAATATTTAGAAAATTTTCTTCAATGAAAAGAAGTTAATGCTAGATTTAATTAATGATTAATCAGTGTTATTTTGATGCTTTGGGTCAATTCAGTAATTATTCTAAATTGAGCACGTATTTGAAAGATATAGTTTTAATCTGTTGGAAGTGATATAATAAATTTGTAATTAGTGAGAAAATTTAATAGTATTTTCTTTATAGAGTCCATGGTGCCAGAAAGACACTTACAGATAAGAATTTTATAGTTTTTGTTTTCAAATTTGTTAATGTATTTGTTTGTTTCTAAAGGATTTTGCAAATACCATTCCTGGACACGGTGGGATAATGGACAGATTTGATTGTCAGTATTTGATGGCCACTTTTGTGCATGTGTACATCACGAGTTTTATAAGGTATTTTACATTTTAAACTTTTCATTACATGATTATTTTGAGTTTTCATTTCCATGAACAGTACATTAGTTTGAATAAGTTAACTTTTTCTGTCACTGATAATCTATCATATCAAAGTGGCCTCTAAAGCTGTAACTCTGAGGAGTGTGCTTAAATTGTCATGTTTTACATATATTTGAGCAGCTAAAACAAAAATAGATGCTGGGGTCCTTCACAGGACTAAGTTAAAGATCCAGTTAATGTGATTGGTACTGAATTTGGAACATCAGGAGATTTAATTTCTCAACTGGGCATTACAATGATTGTGAATACCAAGAGTTAAAAAGAAAGAGAACATAATTCATTCAGGCCACTGATTATTACTTGAGTGTCTGTTATGTGTTGTAGAATATTCTAGCATGGATATAGCAGAGGAAAAAATCAAACCAAGTCACTGCTCTCAGAGATTTTTGTTGGGAGGTTGGAGAGAGAAGGGTCAGAGATGGACAATAATAAATATAGCTTGTTAGATGTTGTAAGTACCATGGAAAAAACAAAATAGTTGTGTGTGTCCTGCATGGTGTTGCTATTTTTTATTTTTGTTATTAAACCATAATGATTTAAATCAGTCCTATAGTGCCAGTTTGGTGTATGAAGGCTAACCACGTCAATCACATGTTTACTTTATTTTTTGTGGTCTCAACTGGGTTCCCAGGAGGCAGAACACTTACTCATAGCACCTGAGTCATAGATAATATAGACATCCTTCACAGAATTGTTTAGCAGAAAACTCATAGAGATCCCTGAATACATATTTTAAATATATACAAATATATTCTTCTTACCCATTGTAAGAACTTTTGTATTAACTTTCTTTTTCTTTTGTGCTGGGGGTGTATGAGTGGGTGGGGGGTGTTGTAGCCTTACTAGGATTTTTTTTTAGCATTTTAAAAATTTCCAATTAGTTATACATGATAATAGAACGTGTTTTGACACATCATACATAAATGGAGTATACCTTCTCATTCTTCTGGTTGTATATGATATAGGATTACACTGGTCATGTAATCATACATGCATATAGGGTCATAATGTCAGTTCATTATATAATCCTTCCTACCCTCGTTCCCCCTCCCCTCCCTTCACTCCCCTCTGTCTAATACAAAGTACCTCTATTCTTTCCTAGTGCCCCCCACCCCCCACCACTTATTGAGAATTAGTTTCCGCATATCATAGAAAAAATTCGGCCTTAGATTCTTTGGAATTAGCCAGGTGCTCTTCAACAGATGAATGGATAAAGAAAATGTGGTATACATACACAATGGAATATTACTCAGCCTTAAGGAAAAATGAAATTATGGCATTTGCCAGTAAATGGATGGAGCTGGAGAATATCATGCTAAGGGAAATAATTTTAATTTAATAATTTAATAATTTAATTTTAGCAATTTCATTACTCTTTCAAAGAATCAACTTATGGCTTTGGCAGTTTCATTTTTCATTCCTTTACCTTTTTTTAAGGTTCATTGCTGTTCTTTTCCAGCTTCTTGAGGTAAAGCCTTACTTATCAATTTTTAGGCATCTGGTCTAATATAGCCATCTAAGACTGTAAGCTTCCTTTTCTTTCTCCCCCTTATACAAGTATTTTCAATATTCAGTTATAAATATTTTATGTTTTTTAGTATTAATATCTTCTTTGACACATGATTATTTATAAGTAAATTGGTTGGTTTCCAAACAAATGAGCATTTTCTCATTCCTTTATTGATGTCTGCTTTAATTCCACGGTGGTCAGAAAACAAATTCTTGATGATTTCAGTGTTTATTTTTTGAAACTTGCTTTATGGCCATATAGTATTTCATCTACTCTGATATGTATTCTATTCATACATAAAACAGATGTGAGTTTTGCAGGTTTTATATGTTTTTTTTGTATGTTAGGTGAAGTTTAATAAAGTCTTTTTTTTTTTTGAGCAGATTATTCTATTAGTTCCTAACAGAGCTTTATTAAAATCTGCTGTGATTAAAAGTTTATCCTCTTTCTAGTTCTGTCAATTTTTGCATTATGTATTTTGAGCTTGCATTGTGTATATACAAATTTAGGATTGTCATATTTAGGATTGAATGGATCCTGTCTCATTATGTAATGCCCATTTTTACTATTTGCCTTAACTACCTATTTGTTGGCTCTCAGGATGGCCAGAGCAGCTTTCCTTTTGTCGAGTTTGCATGGTATTTCTTTGTTTATCCCTTTATGCTTAGCATTCTTTTATCCTTCTTTTTAGTGGTGTTTTTCTCTTCCTAATTTGTGGCTGAATTTTTTGTTTGTGTCTCTTTTGTGGTTTTTAATTAATGTATTTTTTTGTAACCCAGTTGACAATCTTTGTCTTTTTAATTGGAATATTTAGCCTATTTATATGATATCTATTTGCTAGTATATTTGAATATTAGTCATTAGTGGTAAAATCCTTAGACTTCTTCATTTTCAGAAGGTGGCAGCTTTATAACTTTATAACTCGTATTCTTTAAGAAAAATCTGCTCTTCTTTTAGTAGAGAGAAGTCACGCTGAGCCCTGTTGTCCACCATCTGAAAGCAAATATTTAGACAATTAGAAATGCATCAATGGTGCCAGGGTGCAACTGGATGGGAGCACCTGCAGGCGGGATTTAGCATTTAGCTGAACTCACTGAAATAAAATAGCCTGCCTTCTCCCTGTGGGCACCGAATCTGGGTGTGTACTATGCAGGTACTAAATCTTTTGAAGAAATATAATAAGCCAAGCTATGTCTTGACTTGAGTAGCCTGGCTATGAGAGGTATTTGGCCACAGTTCTTTGGCAGATGAACTGAGCCACATGCAAGAAGGTGACCCATGGGATGGCTGATCTGGATTGTTGTGCACTTTTTTAATTCAAAGATTCCTAGACTAAGATTTCCTCTACTCATCCTCCTTGCAGTACTACTGTATAGCAGATATTTTTTTCTTCCTGGGATTTTTACTTCCTTTAACTCTATTTAAACAATTCTTATTGTAAAATACAAATTTACTTACCCATGCAAATGTCTTTCTCAAAACTCGGTGCCATTCCCCATCTTAGTCTTGCTTTTTCTAATTTGACTTTCCTTATAACTGTCCACAAAAAGTAAGCTATATTCTCTATTTCAAATGGATAGTGAGAGGTGCAAAAAAAAACCAATACATATAAGGCTTGAATTAGACTCGTTCCCGACAGACTAGTGTTTTAAGATCTTTAGTTTATAAATGGATTGAATTCTAGTGTCCCAGCAGCCGCAAATCTCAATCCCATGACCACAGTAGTGTCCCAGGAAGGTCATGAGGTCAGAGTTCTCCCCTGAACTCATCTCACCCCAAGTGCTCCACAGAAGAGACTAACAGAAGAGCTGGGACCAGGACCTCAGAGGAGTTTACCCAAAGGGAGCCCCTTGAGAAGGGAATGCTGCACTGGCTGTGTATGCATGTGACAGAGCAGGGCTCTGTGTGGTGACAGCAGTTCCTTGGCTCCTTTCTTCCCCACAAGGACTGTGGTGGGCCAGGTGACGGGGGCGGGGCTCTCCTCCGTCTCAACCTCCTTTCCCATACAGCAAGTAACACTTTAATTTTGCTTGCTACATTGGGGTTTGCCTCAGACTTCTTTGAACTAAGGCTCTCAGTAGGGACTTTGGTGCTGTGCACAGGACTTTGGATTCTGTCTCTTGAATATCTGTAGTCCCCTTGTTTTTATTTTTTCCTCCCCTTGACACAGACATTTAGACATTAAAGTGAAATCAAGAGCTGTTTTAGTTCTGTAAAGACTGCTGCTCTACACTGTGAGGAATGGATTATCTTAAATTATGGATATGTGCTTCACTTATCTCTACTAAAATCACCTGAATGTTGTCTTCTCTACCTTATCTTTAGGGGTCCAAATCCCAGCAAAGTGCTTCAGCAGTTGTTGGTGCTTCAACCAGAACAGCAGTTAAATATATATAAAACCCTGAAGACTCATCTCATTGAGAAAGGAATCCTACAGCCCACCTTGAAAGTATAGCTGGATCCAGAGAGGGGAGGACTGACAAGAAAGAATTCTGCAGAAAAGCACTGAGAGATGAAATCTTGTAACTGTACAGAAAAATGGTTGAAAATGCAATAGATTGACATTTTACAGGCATGAATGTTGGTTCTCTGAAATTACTGTGAATATTTAACAAACACTTACTTGATCTAAGTTGTGAAATAAGTAGCAAATTGCCAGCAAAATATCCTGTACTTTTTCTAAGATGTATTTTCTGATGTTAACTTCCTTCCCCTTACTTGCTGGGTTTCATAATTTAAAAGACTTGTATTTTAAAGAGTCAAACACTATAAAATAAGTAAATCGAGGCGATCTTAAGATTGCACCTGGCAGTGGGATCTTTTGCACAAATGTTCACTTTTGCACTTGGAGCTACTCTTTGATTTTAACAGAGTATTGTTTGTAAGGCACACCGGGGAGTCCGCTCTGCTTCTCAGTCTGAAGTATTTTCTGAAGGGCTGAGTTTGATGGGGGGAAAATGATTGTCTACTTTTCTTTTTTTTTTTTTTTTTCCTTTCTTTTTTTGGTGGTTGTTTTGGCTTGGTTTTCTGTTGCTGGGGAGTGAACCAGGCCTTGCACATTCTAGATTCTAGTCATGTGCTCTAGGATTGAGTGACACTCCAGCCTGACTTTCCACTTTTCAAAGAAGTAATCATTTTCCAGGAGAAAGCATTCTGCTTTTAGGTAGGTTCAAACTTCAATAGAGGGAGGATTAAATTTCTGCCATTATTTGTGTGTTTAAAAAAAGCACTCCACTTCTGATAAAATTATTTGGAAAAACACAGCCTTACAGAAACTTTCCAAGAGAAACAAAGGAGATTTCTGCCTGAAGAACACAGTGTTCGGATCCTCCTCTGCAGATGATCTCAACGGGACTATAGTTCAGGAGGCAGCTTCTAAAACAGTGCTGTGTGGCCTGAGCCCCCTCTTGGTCGAGTTCTCCGCTTTTTTCTTGTTTCCCTGTGAACTGATTTTGCTAAGGTGTGTAGTGGTAGGCACACAGCAAGGTCAGTGCTCAGGGCAGTGAGTGGTGTGGTAGCCAAAGCAGAGGAGGGGATGCTTAGCTGAGCAAGGCCCGTAGGAGGGGGCCCCTGATCCTATGTTTTGGGTACCTCCTTCCAGATCTCCAGTGAAGCCCTTCAGAGACTTTTCTAAAAAGAAGGAAGAAGACTCAGTCCCATGTCAACTCCCTGGGGGTGGCTAACCTTTGTCCCATTGTTCTTTCTCATCATGTCATAAAATCTAAGGACATCAGCTGATTATTTTTTCTCGTAAGAATGAAAATCAAGTAGAAGTGATTGCCACCAAAACCAAAAAGCACACGAATGCCAAACCATTCCTTTGGTGGGCTGGACACTGTAAGCAAACAAAAAAGAGTAAGTTTCTTTTCCTTGGACACAAATAAGCTCCTATTGTGTGCTCCCTACAGCCATATTTAATGTATTGAACTGTCAGCAATAAACCTGCACAAAGAGCCCAGTGCTCCTGGTCAAATGTTCAGAGGGGAGATAGAGATCTATTTTAAAGAATGTTTTGCTAATGAAAAGTAAATATTTTTGTTTAGATCAAAAAAAAATTCCATTATTTTATATGTCCACGCTACTGCTATATTTAAAAGACTATAACTCTGCCTGGGTTCCACACGTGGACCCGCGCTGTCAGCCTCATGGCATACCACAGGGATGGCAGAGGATAGAGCACTTGGCACTAAGACCCTCAGGGTTGGGTCTGGTGTCCACTTAGCTGATTCACCACTGCTGCACGTGTTCAGTGAGCATTGTGTCTGTCACACCACTCTACAAAAACTAGAATTGGCACTGAAAGGGTTATTACAGGAGGGAATTATCACCTTTAAAATCAGGCCACCTACATATTGATTTTCAGTACTCTTGCATTTATTTCCCCCACTAACAGCACCAAATGTTGATCATCAAAAATGTGAGATACAACAGTTTAGAAAACAGAATGAAAATTTTGCGATAGGAATTTATGTTGAAAATTTGACCTTTACACAAGTAAAAACTCCTTGAAGATTCACAAAGCCCTCCGCATTTTTATTTGAAGTACTTGATGAGGCATTGCAAGACAGAATTATGAGAGCATCACTAAATACATGTATTACAAAATCAATATCATTACAAAGTGTGAAGCTGGAAACATTTCGGGTCACAGTAAAAGCTTTTCTCAAATAAACTTTTAGATTTGGGTGTACTTTATTCTTTATGTAAAAAGATAAATTCTTAAAATTTTAACGGAGCTCTAAAGATTAACCTTTGTAGTGTACTTTTATAGCATGTATATTCAAACTATATATTTTAGCAGAAGATTGCCATAAAACCATGACTTTGGTCATTTTTGTATTTGCACTGGGAAGAGGGCTAAAATTCCAATGTAGCGATGTGGCGGTGGAAAAATGGAAAGCTGGGAACTTCTTTCACAGCAGTGGCCAGTGTTCCAAAGTGGCCATTGGGGAAGGTAGTCCATTGTACTCACTGCTTGACTTTTTTACCTGTGGGATGCGATGTTTCCTCAATGCTTTCTCCCTTGTGGTTGGTGGTGCTTATACAGTGACTGAGAATACAAAGACCACCTGCCCCCCCTTTTCATTTTTAGTATCTCTTCATTTGCACTTTGGTTTGAACAAAGATAGTGTCACCTTGTTCAAAGAAAAGGACAAGGTACAAACAGTGTGTATAGACTGTATATAGGTGAAAGTTGTGTGTCAATCAGTTCTCTGAATCTTTTTACTGAAACAGATAGGGAAATAAAACTTCAATCACATTTTGACTCTGTTGTGCCGTTTTCTCATTGAAGCAGAAACATTCATTCATTAAACTAGTGTTCACAAAATTGTGACAGATACGCATAAATTGTGTATGAATTCTACCACTCACGCCTACGGTGACATCTGCAGGGCGAGAGAAAACCGAGTTCTGGTGAGGGGACAGCTGTGTGTCTTCTTAATAGAATACTGAGCTTCTGTGTGCCAGAGTTTGCCATTACACACTTGTTTTTGTGACTCTGAATAATGTCTAGGACTTCAAGTTTTATGGAGACCAAATGAGACCTGTTTTGTATTCCCAGGGTCCAGCACAATCTGCATGCTGTGGGCACTCAGGCTTCTGAACCAATGGAAGGGCTGGGAGTTGGGAACTGTGCACATTCCCACGGTGACTTGGATAGTCCCCACCCACTGCACCCCCCCACCCCCAGTTACATTTTGCATAGCTCTAAGGTGGGCGAATTAGGTGGTTTTAAGGACTCAGGAAAACGTTTGAAAGTGCCTGGATCTGTGTCCATCCTGGAACAGCTGATGAGTAATACCAAGTTTCCTTTCTTCCCATCTGCTCCTCTCCTGTTACTCATTTCCAGTGGGTCAGGAGAGCTGGGCAGAAAGGTCCACCACTTTGGCCATGGCTTTCTTAGGTGGCATTACGTAAGTGTTTCTTGATGGATAGATAGCTCATCAGTTCACTTCAGCCATCCTGGAATCTGTGCACCAGACTTTGTTCAGAAATGGAGAAAACATCCAAACCAATAACAGCATGCAGTGGCGCACACCTGTAATTCCAGTGGCTCAGGAGGCTGAGGCAGGAGGATCACAAGTTCAAAGCCAGGCTCAGCAACAGTGAGGTGCTAAGCAACTCAGTGAGACCCTGTCTCCAAATAAAATACAAAATAGGGCTGGGGATGTGGTTCAGTGGTCCAGTGCCCCTGAGTTCAATCCTCAGTACCAAAAAAGAAAAAAAAAAAACAACTAATAACTCGCAGAGATAGAGGCAGATGCCATTTGAGGTGGATTGTGATCAGGGTGATGACAGACAAATAAAGCCCCAGAAGCTTGGGAAGACAGGAGACAACCATCTGACCTGCATTCAGGACCTGTTTCTCCACAGCCAGACATCTCTGTCCCCTCCTGAAAGAAAGTTTGAATTCACTGAGAAAGGGATTCCATTTCGGAACCTCTTGAGTAGCTGCGAATAAAAATCAGATCTAGGCCATTTAACCAAAACCAAATGATGTCCTATACTGTTGTCTTCATGCAGAGAAGTGGAGAAACTTCTTGACTTACTGAATAAACAGTGAAGGTCACGTAGTAAAGGTTCATGAATAAGACATTTCTGATGATGTCAAAGTGGCCAAAAGCAGCCAAGAGAATCTAGTCCAGTTCCCTAATGTGTACAAAGGACCTGGGAGACGGTTAAAGCAAGGTCAGACTGTCTTCCCTAGGGAGAGAACAGAATCTCAAACTGCTGTCACTTTTCAACACAGACGGGATGTGGGCTTCTTTCTACTGTGATTCCTACTTGAGTTTAATGGATCCATATGGCTTTCTGTTCAAGAATATGTGATTTTAAACTTCAGATGGGGCCTAGAAGACTGGTAAGTTTGGGGAACATTGTTGAATAATCAATTAAATGTATTCCTCATTGGATTTAATAAATCTCAAAAACTTGTGAAGAAATCAGAACAAGAAATTTCAGCTAGTCCATGTGTTTTCAACAGCTTTATTAAAATGTGATTTACATACTATAGCATTGTACAACCATCTCACCAAATCCAGTTGGAGAACATTTCTGTTAACATTTCCTTGGTGCCCATTTACAGTTAATCCCCACTCTAATTCCATGCCTTAGGCAATCATTAATTTGTTTTCTGCCTTTATTAATTTATCTTTTCTGGACTTCACATACAAATGGAATCATATGGTGTGTTGTATTTTTGCATCTTGCATAATATTTTTGCATATATTAGCACTCCTCTGCTTTTTATGAATATCATATTTTGTGAACTTTGCCAGTTGATGGACATTTGGGTTATTTTCCAGTTTAGGGCTTTTATGAAAAATGTTATTATGAAAAACTTGTGGACATGCCTTCATTTCTCTTTGGTAGATTGCTAGGGGTGGAATTGCTGAGTTGCATGGTAAATTCATGTTTAACTTCTTTTTTCATGTTGAAGTTAGAATTAAATTCAAAAATATATTAATAGTCCTTGATAGCTTGGAATGGTTTGATATCTGATAGCATTGTCTTACATCTCTGTAAAGTGGATTTATTCTTTCTTCATGTTTAATTTAAATAAACAAAGTGTTTCCTAAGGTGGCTAAACAGTCCTACATTCTTACTTGCTGTGCACAAGGGTCCTACATTCTGTATCCTCACCAAAACCTGTATTGCCTGTCTGCTCATTTGTAGTCGTTCTTGCTGGTATGTAGAGGTGTCTCATTGTAGTTTTAGTTTGCATTTCCTTAATGGATAATAATGTTGAGCATCATTTCCTGTGCTTATTTGCAATGTGTATATCTTATATGATGAACCTTGACAATTCTATTTTTTAGTCAGGAGACAAGGAACAGATCCTGATTCAGATTAGTATGACCTTGCTTGAGGAGTAGCACCCAAATGTACACAGTAGTACTGGAAAAAAAAAGCCAAGGCCAAAAGGGCTTGATAGAAGTTCTAAGTGAACCCACACTGAATTGAGGGGTGACGACTTCTAGCTCCTGGGAGGTCAAAGGCAGGAGGACTTCATGCAGGTCTTTGTGCCTCTCGGTCTTATTCATAATAGGTAGCACTTTTTGGCACCATGAAGGTGATTTATTTCTAAGGGCTCTCAAGAATTTCAAGAGGTAAGTTTTATTTGAATATAATACATGCTGCTAAGAATATTTATTACCACCATCCCCCAGAACCCCAGCATTCTCCAAAGAATGGATATCATATGTTCATTAAACATATATTTTATGGAACTTCATTTGAATTACACGTCATCTTAGTAACTAAAGTGATAAATACTTCCTGCTGTCAAAGAACTTCTGGTTAAGCTGGGAAGACATCACAGAAGGTGATGTGATTGTGGTTTACAATCTGGGCTGGAGCTGGGGGAAGCCAGGAGGAGGGGTGGCAGGAAAAGGTCTTCCTGGGGAGGAACCAGTGGCTCTGGCTGCTAAGACAGGCTGTCAGGGTCAGCTGCTTTCTTGACAGATACCTTCAGTAAAGTGTAGTGGACATCGTGATAAAAAGTTGAAGGCTTCACGGAGAGTGGGGTGGGTTGATGCTGGTCTCCAAGAGTAAGTGCTGTTAGATGCATGGCTGAAGGGAAGGCGAAGTGGTAGCCTCTTTGCAAAACAAGCTGGCACCTCCTCAAAAGGTTGCTCTCTGGTCCAACCGTTTCACTCTTTGGAATCTCCCAAGTGAAAACATTCATCCACACAAAACCTGTGCATGAGTGTTTACAGCAGTAAAATTCACTGTTCGCAATAGTCTATTACGTGGTGAGTGGATGAATAAAATGTGGTCCAGCCATCCAGTGGACTCCTGCTTGGCAGTGAAGAAGGATGGAATACTTATATATGCTACAATATGGAGGAACCTCAAAAATCTTAAGAGAAGTAAGCCAGCCCCCAAAGACTGGAGACTGCATGATTCCATCCAGGCCACGTCAGGAGAGGCGAATTCACAGTAGACAGAAAGCAGGTGAGTGGTTGCCAGGGCCTGGGGGATGGGCAGTGGGAGAATGAAAGTGACTGCCTAGGATAAGAGGTTTCTTTTGAGGTGATGAAATGTTCTAAAACTGAATTGTAATGATGGTCGCATAACAACAGAAATGACCAAAACACTGAATCGTACACTTTAAGTTGACTTTTGTAGTATGCTAATCAAATCTCAAAGTTGCAACAGTATCTGACAGGAGAATCTGCAGTGGTGAGATCTGGGGAGCAGGCAGTTTGGGGACAGTTTTCCAGGTTGGGGGGGTGGGAGGGCTGCCAGCTGACCTCACAGAAGGGTTCCCACAACAGGTCCATTTGCCACCTCTCCCTCCTGGCAGGCTTGAGAGGTGGGGGCTGCCCTGGAATATTTCCGCCTCCCAGGTGGGCTGGACTAGCAGGGGAGGAGGCTTTCTTTTCTCGGGCATTATAACAGAGACCCTGCAGCTTCTCTGGTGGAGTCCGGGGCGCATGGTTCTCTCGATGGCAGGGAGGGTGTGGTGTTCAAAGGTGCCCTCAAGGACGGAGGAAAGTTGAATGGGGCAGACCACACCCCAGTGAGGGTTCCAAACACAAGTGTTCTGGCATGTGGCACATGAAAGCTCAAATTCAACACAAGAAAGATGATTTATGATTTCTGAAAAAAACAGATTGCCTTAGAGTTGAGGACAAGTCACTGGCTGCCTCTAATTTCTGATTCATTGCATTCAACAAATTCCTTGAGCAGCTGCCCTGCCAGGCCCAGTTCTGGGAACTCCACACAGAGGTGAACAAGACCAAATGCTTCACATGGCTGACCCTACTGGGAGACACCACAGAGAACTAACACAGAGCATGTTACTGTGGAAGGTGTTCCAGGGAAGAAGAGCAGAGAGGGTGGTGAACGGGCATTGGGGCTGGGAAGTGCAGGTGGGTCAGGGGCCTCACTTGGAAGGTGACATTTGAGACCATCGCTGAAGAAGGTGAAGGAGGAAGAGGAGCACAGGTGGGCCAGGCGGAATCTCTCAGGCAGAGGGTACAACCAGGACAAAGGCCCTGTGGTGGAATTAGACCTGGCTGGTATGAGCAGAAACAGCATGTGTTCCAGTGACTTTTCTTGGTGCTGTGGACCGAACTTGGGACTTCAACATACTAAGCACACGCTGTACCACTGAGCTACACCCCTAGTCAGAAGTAGCATTTTTAGGTTCTAGCTTTTGTTCCAAGTCAGCTGCGGTGCTTCAAGGCGAGATCATGAACAGGCTGTTTTTCCTTAAATAACTGTTCTGTCCTGGAATGCAGCTCACAACCACTGTGC